TCACTGCAGTTGCTGTACAGCTATTCCTTCAGCTGTGGCTACCAAGTAGCTGGCATGTGATGCGAGGTTAGGTAGGCAAACACACCGAGTGATATTATTATCCACACAGACGCCCAAGCTGTCTTCACCTGACGGTTGAGCAGTTGTCAACGCCGGAATACTCCCGCATAAACCGATGTAAGAGAATAGAGTTTGTTTTGTACCGCAATTACCAAGCCGTGTACGCCCCCGTTTACCTCCAGAACCGCACCCCTGCTGACGTCCTGGACGGCAAAGCACCACTTGAGGAAAGCAAGGACAAACCACTCGGCAGCTTGAAGCACATGCATGAGTGGGGGTCTGTAGCGTTTAAATACGTAGAACCTCGCTCGCGAAACGAAAAGTTTTCTGCCAGGGCCAAGAAGTATTACATGGTGGGATACAATACAACCAGCAAGACGTGGCGGCTATGGGACCCGGCGGAACCACTCAAAATTACAAACTCTGCTGAAGTGTCATTCCGCGAGGTAGATGCCCGCGACGTCGCCCGCCCCATGCACGGGTCTGACCCATTTCCCGAACAAGGCCAGATTTTCCAGCCCGGCATCATCACTACTGGGGCCGAGACAAAAGACGAGGAACCAGAACTAGCAGAAACGAACGACGGACCGGACGAAGAACCACCCGCGGTGCGCAAAAGCGGTCGTACGACAAGGCCGCGGGACCGTCTGAACCTGTTTACGACGGAGCAGGTGTTCGAAACGGAATACGCGCTGGTGATCGGAGGTGAGATCGGGAACCTTGGTCAAGGGATACCTGGCCAACTAGGATACATGCCCGCCGATCCACCGAACTACCGCGCAGCGGTCAACGGACCAGATGCTGTTGGATGGATGAAAAGCATGGTACAGCACGACTCCCGTGGTGGAGTAGCCCTTGTCTAGGTCGCCTGCAAAATCTGAGTCGACAAACGCCGTAATGACGTTTCCATCTCCGGCGTCCTCGCCGTAGCGTACACCGATTGATATCGTACCTTTCAGGTACCTGAGTACGCGTTTGAGTTTCTGCATCGCCCTCGGACCTGGTTTCGCCATACTCCGCGTCAGAACCATTACGGAGTGAGTAATGTCGGGCCTTGTGCACCTGCTGAGATATAGAAGCGAGCCTGTGGCGGAGCGGAAATATGTGGTATCCTCCGCTGACAGCACCTCGTCCTCCAAGACGGACACCGGTCCAGCCTCAGACGGAGATGTCGTCGGACGCGCGTCGGCCATGCCGAACTTGTCCAACACTGCGTTGGTATACGCTTCCTGTTCCAAAAGAATCGTCCCTGCGGCTCTGTCTCGGTTGATTCCCATACCGAGTAGGAATCTGGCTCCTCCCAGGTCCACCGTTTCGAAACGCTCATTCAGCTGATCGACTATGCTCAGCACTTTGTTCTCGCCCTCCCCGGTCAGCAGAATGTCATCCACATAAACGAGAAGGAGCACATCTCCGTCGTCCAGGATGTACAAGCACGGTTCAGCGGTGCTCTCAACAAATCCGATCTTCAGGAGAAAGTCGTGCAGAGTGCCCCACCAGCCTTTTGGGGAAAAACGCAACCCGTAAAGCCATGCTCTGAGCTTCAAGACTTGCCTGGCTCTCCCGCTGTCGCACGAGAATCCTTCCGGGGGAATGACGTACACTGGTTTCGATCTCGGTTCCATCCTCGCGTGGAGGAACGCCGTCCTGATGTCGGCTTGGCGAAGAACAAGTCCATTCTTGGCTGCATGCGCAACTATCAGATGGACGGCTTGGAGAGACGCTACCGGTGCAGCATTGTCGGTTCCGGTCTCAGCTTCGTAAAATCCTTGCACTACGATTCATCGATTTCTGTCGCACAGCGATGCCGGCTCTCGTTGTACTTCCATTTGTAGATGTATTTTGACGGGATACGATTTGAGCATCGCATATCGGGACGGATCGATTTGAGCATCGCACGGGGGATAGACCCACTCGTAAACGTCGTGGTCTAGCAGGGAGCGATTCTCCTCCTCCATGCTTTTCATCCATCCAACAGCATCTGGTCCGTTGACCGCTGCGCGGTAGTTCGGTGGATCGGCGGGCATGTATCCTAGTTGGCCAGGTATCCCTTGACCAAGGTTCCCGATCTCACCTCCGATCACCAGCGCGTATTCCGTTTCGAACACCTGCTCCGTCGTAAACAGGTTCAGACGGTCCCGCGGCCTTGTCGTACGACCGCTTTTGCGCACCGCGGGTGGTTCTTCGTCCGGTCCGTCGTTCGTTTCTGCTAGTTCTGGTTCCTCGTCTTTTGTCTCGGCCCCAGTAGTGATGATGCCGGGCTGGAAAATCTGGCCTTGTTCGGGAAATGGGTCAGACCCGTGCATGGGGCGGGCGACGTCGCGGGCATCTACCTCGCGGAATGACACTTCAGCAGAGTTTGTAATTTTGAGTGGTTCCGCCGGGTCCCATAGCCGCCACGTCTTGCTGGTTGTATTGTATCCCACCATGTAATACTTCTTGGCCCTGGCAGAAAACTTATCGTTTCGCGAGCGAGCTTCTACGTGTTTAAACGCTACAGACCCCCACTCATGCATGTGCTTCAAGCTGCCGAGTGGTTTGTCCTCCCAAACCTCAAGTGGTGCTTTGCCGTCCAGGACGTCAGTAGGTGTGCGGTTCTTGATGTAAATGGCGGCCTTCACGGCTTCCGCCCACAGTTGACGCGGTAGGTGCGGAGCTCCAAGCATGAGACTACGTGCTGCACCGATGACGGTCCCGAAACCGCGTTCGGCGACAGCATTCCCTTGAGGGACGTACGGGGGGCTTGTCTCCACAGCGATCCCGAAGGACCGACACATTGCTAAGAACCTACCCTTGAAGTCGGCTGCGCCATCGCAATGGATTTTCCCGATGCAGATGCCCTCGGGATCGGCGACTTCTTTAATCAGTGTTTCGAGCGCGTCAGTCACTCCATCCTTTGTCTTCAGGGGAATGCCCCACCGCATGCGATCATCTTCTCCATTCTGGTGCTGGCGTCGCCCACGGCGTCGTCGATGGCCGTCCTAAGCTCCTCATGAGTCGGGCCAGCCTCGCCCCCGCCAGAGTTCACAGAGTCGTTCGAAGACATGTGTGTATACCGCACTAGACTATGACGTTAACGCCACAAGACTCTAGAGTGTTGATTGGCCCCAAGCCGAGTGCTGCTGGATGAGCACGGCTGTCCCGTTTTGACAATGTGAAGAGATGGTAAAGTCGTTTTATTGGTCGTCCTCGTAGACACAAGCAACGGAAGAGAGTGGGCACTCAGGTGCATCACAAACACCGAGGCACGCGAGCAACAGTCGCAAGACGCATTCGGAACTCGGAATACATGACAGCAAGGAATGCGCGACAACTTGCCAAAGATCCTACTACCGGAGATACCCCGAAGATCCAAATGACCGATGGACGGTCACGCACTTGCGCACCTGCATAGCTCAAAACCACACATGAGTACTACCGCAGTAGCCTTCGTAAGGATGGCATAATCCACCTCACGAACATTCCTTCCTACTTTGCCAAAGGTGATGGCTAAAAGCTAAATCTATCCATCTATCCCATCGGTATCACTTCCCGCCCACTCAACCCACTTCCTATTCCCCAGTGCGGCTACCGTCTTCTCCTGGCTATTCCATGCCCCAATCATCTCCCTGTACCGTCCTTCTACTTTTCCCAGCTCAGTCGTGTACACTTCCCTCTCCTTCTTGTACAACCGATATTCCGCAACTACATGAACACTAAACACGGACTTCGCACTCGGAGTCGCAATCACATTTGAACTTGTCGTCTTCTTGGTCCACCTTCCTAAATCTTCGGCTACGTTCTCGAAGGCCAATGTCCCCGGTCCTGAATTTGACCTTCAGCTTGGTCCCTGCATCCATTGGTCCATTTAGGTATTCCTTGAACCCTATTCCTTCTTTCAACACTCCGTACACTTCTAGACCCTCCTTGTCCTTGGTTCTTTGGTTAGTTTCTGTTCCTCTTTTCTCGGCAAATGCAGCAGATGTCTTCTCCTTGAACCCCTCTAGACCTTCCGTTTCCAGCGTACCAACTTCGTAAATTTCCCCATCAGGTCTGCCCTGACGGCTGCAGTACTTGTGCGCTTGGAGCATCCTAGCATGATTTTCGCTGCTTTGATCTGCGCCGCCTCGGGCTCTTTGACTACCTTCTTATTTCCTTCCCATACTTGCCCGGCGTATTCTAGCGGCGGTACGACTACGTTCTTCAAAACTGTCAATTTGATGCGTGCATCGAGGTGCCGGTTTGCGAGTATTGGGTGTAGTTTCCCTGCTCGAATTGGGTAAGGTGCCCCGGGGGGCGCCCGAACTGAAGTTCCTGCGCTTCCTACAGCAGAACATTTTTGATCTACTCCCGTAAACACCACCGTACGTAGTGCTGAGACGGTTTTTCAGCCCTCAACTTGTACCATACGTCATACGATAAAAGGTGGCCGGGTGACCCCTCTCTGCAATTCCCGTGCGCGTCAGAGTACAGTAGGAAAAATAGCGGAAGGAGACGGGGACGACAACGAGGATCGGAGGCGAAACCAGCAGAGCCATGAAAAGGTAGAAGCAGGAGAACCGAGCACGATGGTCGCGCCCGAGCCGGAGAACATGAAGATTGACGCGGTCTCTGGGGAGAGGCAAAAGCTGGATCGTCGAAAGCGCCGCTGTCCGGTTGTGAGTGTCCACAGATATCCCAACAACAGCGAGGACGAAGGAGAGGGGAAAGAAGACGAAGGAGCTGGAAAGAGAAGGCGAGCCAGCAGTGTTGCCATGCCACTCTTCTACACATCGGTGATGACTGATCTTTAGTTTAGAAAGAGTGCGAAATTCTATCACAATGGCGGAGAAAATGCTTCATGGTTGCGCAGCTAGGCGCGCCGTTTATGACTAAAAGTTTAACAGAGGGCCAACCAGCTACAATCATACCTATTCGTACACTTTAGGGAACCTGTGGGGAACCTCTGTAGCGTCGTCATCTCTGTCCCACCTCGGCTTGGTTTAGCGTGGGCGTGTCGTGTCAGTCCATTCCTTGTGTAATGGACACGACTTCCACGGGCATCTTCATGTATTAATGACCAATATTCGTTGCAGGTCCTTTGCGCGAGTTATCATGCAAGAGGACCTGGCAGGGTTCTCACACCTTGTTCAAGAGGGTACCGGCATCTTGGATTCTGATGGTCACGGGTGGAGTGCTCTCCATTGGGCGAGTTCGAGGGGAAGCACTGTCCTAACCTACGGCATCCTGCAAGAGATAAAGTTGTTGCGGGAAGCAGGTGAAGTGATCTCCTCGCTGCCACGGGATAGCAAGCAGCAGTCCTCCTTGAGGGAAATCTTCAGCTGCACTGTATGCGTCTCAAGAAGGCCCGATCTAAAGTTGATTTCAATAGAACGAGATCCCTGCATCGTCGCGAGGATACATTTCCCAACCTTGACAGGGACTGGACCTCTATATCCTCTTTGCTGTCGTCGAAACTAGCGTCGTGTTGTCATCTTCCCTTGACAGCCTGCTGATCGGACGCATGCGTTTGTAGACTCTTCTGCTGGCGAAGGGACCGACGGCGAGTCAAACGCGGTCGCCGGCTTCCTTGATTTGCGGGAAAACCTCGGTGGGTGGACAGCGTTGCACCTCGCTGCAATTGGAGGACACCTGGATGTGGTGTATATGTTGATGGAAGTGGGCTGCGATCCTCGAGTCAAGGACAAAGTGAGCTTCTTGCACAGGACTTGGACATCGAGTTTGATCCCGTGCTCAGTATCCCTATCGCTTCTTCTTTGCTTCGATGAATCAACGGATGGTTTTCATGAGTTTTCTATTGATGTCGCTTCCCGCGTCACTAATGTGAGGCACGTGTTGCTCGGTGCCGATGACATCCCTGCTTGCAAAACAAGGAATTGGCACGAAAGTTAAAAGTTCGGAGTTGCCGAGAGCACTTACTGCTCGAAACGAGGAGCCCTGGCGAGAACAATTTAGAGTCGATTCGACTGGGCATCAGAGGGGCAAAGGACGCAAAAAGTATAGAAATGTTCGATGCGACACTTATTTTATGTGTTTGTGACCGTCACACAGATACATCCAATCCATCACCCAAGAGAATGCAAACCTCAAGCGGCTTGCCTATTTTCTGGCCGATTTCGTCCGAACACAACTCTGCCGAGTGTTAGCTTCAACAAGGATGTCCGTTCGTGAGAATGAAGAAAAACAGCGCGTAGGGGAATTTCCTAGACTAGACCGTGAGGGTGGCTGACAATCGCGAGCATTCGCAGTGTTATCCAAGTTAGCCGGCTTCCACACGGGTTCTTGCAAAAATTCGGGGTTGGGTTTAGAACATGGGGCGTCTTATTCCTACCAAAACACCATGTACAGTTGTAAATCCTTTCGCCGCTTGACACCCGGAAGGCCAGGCGCGGACATGTATCCAAGGGTGAGCACGGTGCGTATTTGTCTGCACTCGCACGACTCTAGCTTTTTCCTCATTCGTGGCACTCTTGTGATGCTCTTTCCACTAACATGGATTGCTCCGTCCGATCACTAGTTTTCCTACCACTATTACAGCAGCGGACACAAATTTTGTACACACGACCTATAAAACAGTATGTCGTCCTGAACGCGGCGTGCCACTTTCTCCTTGTGGCAGGTTGGAGATCAACCAATCCATTGCATACGGCGCAAGAGGACATCGGAGGGACTGGTGACGCGATTACGCAACGCTTTGCTTGATCTATCAGATTCAGAGGAGAGCAGCTGCGAGGAGAACATGGAGCCTCAACCCAGAAGAGGATCCATCAGAGAGCGACGTAGATACCGTTAGCCCGACCACGGCGGAAATGTCGAGCAGTGACCCCGTCACAAGAACCGTATGTGATGTCATCGAGGGAATTTATACAAACGGGGAAGCAAACACGGCCAAATCCGAACAGTCCGGCAGGCTCTCCAAATCATTTACAGTACGCTACGCCTAGACTGAAGATATTTCCACGCCACGAGCATTCACTTCGTTGTGTGGCCGACAACTAAAACGCTGGAGTCACGAGACGCCTCATGCACTAATCTGTACATCTGTGGAGGAGCTATGCTATCGCAGACGTTCCACCTTGGCACACTATGTGGTTCGGGCATCAGCTCCTTCCCGGACGGTGGCCTTTCTGCTAGGCGATCCCGCCCGACGAACCGTTGCTACCAAAACGGTTATGTCGTCCATTTTCCCCCCGCGAAAACTGGTCGTGTCTTCTTCCGGCATAATCGAGTCACGCCGATCGTCTTGTTTTGGTGCCCCTGCCGCACCTCGTCTGAAACTATTGAGCCCCGCGGTCACACTTCGTTCCAAAGCCAACCCCCATTTGCTAGCATCCCATTCCAGCCTCCTTTTCCCTCGGTCTGTTGACGGTCCGTCAACGGAGCCTCGTGTCGGAATAACTCCCGCAGCTACAGCCTCCTCTTCCCAAGGTGTCAAGCGTTCCTTATCGCGTGAAAGATTAAAGGCTTTCCGTGCCAATGCTGAGGCCAAGTCTACGGGCTTATCGCAAGCCTCGTGAGCTGTTGTTTCCGCATCGCCCTCAAATGCTTCTTCGATGCATCGCAGGATATCAGACTCGAACATGTTGTCTAGGAGGCCATCTGTGGCCAAGACCACCAAGTCTCCCTCTCTGCAAAACACGTTTCACACCAAGGGTAGAGAGCGCACGTAATGTCACTGTTTCGGGCAAACGACAAGTTATTTGTGCGAAACAGACTGCCCTACCGTCATACATGACGGTAGAAACGTGCCGCACGCCTCGGTTCCAAGGTACGCAGCATACGCTATTACTACTATACATAACGTAGCCGTTGAACGCACCTGACGTAGAACAAAAAATCTCGAGCGTCGTGTGCTTTGTCTCGGCTCCCAGTTCCTAGCTGGTAAGGCTGGTTGAAGTTATGTCTCTGTGTCGCTGTTCTCAACGCGACGAAGGGGGTTCCTCGGGCATCCCTGAAACGAAGCCATCCACAGAACGGCACGCGATTGTTGTCGCAGTATGTCAACGCAACAATATCACAAAGTCAGGTGACAAAGGCACGCCCCCAAGTTGATATCGCCTTTTCCTTTCAGGGCTGTGAGACGTGATGCTGAGGCGTTTGGATAGATCCACCGGGTTGGAGGGAGGCGGAGAAAGAGGAGAGTAGTGTCTACGAGCGGACCAGCTGACGTGGATGGGGCTTCGTACATCATCCTCTGGTGAATACCCCACGAATCCCTACAGTAAATGAAGAACTTTAACAGTCACATCGCCGACAGACCTGACGGCATCCGCTCTCACACGAAACGAATAGTATTGCCTCTCGTACACGGGAATATCTTAACTGATCGCTAGCCTACCGTTCCAGAGAGTAGCGTAGAGGGACGAAAACAACGCAGCAACACCTCTCTATTTTGACCTCGCATGGATGCGAGCGTAGAAAATTCGGTGCGTTGAGAGAAAACACTGCTGGCGATACGGGCGACAAATCGCACCTGCGTACAAGAAGGGCGCCTGAATCACCGACGTTGACGCCGTTCAGCATTCCGTACACCGGGTCGAAGGTCACCTGCCGCGTTTGCCAGGTCAAGTACAAATATTTTTTATGGGTCATGGCATTCTTCGGATTGAGAGGCACGGACAAAGGCAAAGGATATCTTCACGTTCACCACAGATCCAAGCTCTCGGATACATACCGTCCGCAGATAACGCGAAGTAACTGCTGTTGGCGAGTACATTGATTTTCTCACCACACATGCGGTGCAAGTTCCTTGGGTTCCGGCCAACGCCGCGTTGGTAGTGGCGTACTCCAGCGCCTGCTGCAGGTCCACTCCTTGCGCAATTCGCGGCAAGGGTTCGCCTTCTAACTGAGATCGCCGGAGCGATACTGCCTCTTCCGCTCTCTGAGCTGTAATATTGGCTGTAGCACAAAACGGTGAGAACGCAGACCGGCAAAGGGGATTCGCTTGTGATCAGAGGCCCTCGCACTCTTGCAGAGCCGGTACACGGCACATTGTGTTTTTCGATGCATTGGCGCCAAGCGTGAAGGGCTCTTATGAGTTGGCGGGAAGGTCGGCTAAAGGGTGAGCCGCACGACACCCGCAGGTCGTCACATACGCCTGACGGTTGTAGGTAAAGTTTCAAAAAGTTTTCAACTGTTTGTCACCATCACGTTCGGCCGCTTCTCGAGACAGCCACCGATACATAAAAATGCAACAACTGCCACGCAGGGAGCTGGTCAGATGCACGCACTGCATTGGTAAAGACGGCCGAGGCCGCGTGATTTATGATGCGTCCCGCACAATTTTGGCCCTATTTAGCGAATGAGTTAACAGACAAGCCGAACTGATCAGACAAAACCGCAAAGGACGGGGATTTCCGACTGATTAAACGCGCAGTCTATGACTTTTGCCAGCCTAGATTCGACATGGCGACGAACGGCTGGCGAAATCACGATACAACTCGAGCGGTATTCGCGTAAAGCGTGCAGCCTGAAACTTCTGTAGGTACCTGGACAGCAGTCGATGACAACAAAATGGCAAATCCACACAACTTATCACTCTACTAGGCTTCTAGGTGGCTTCAGAACGTCACGCAGCCACCCAGAGTCTTAACATAATATTCCCATGCGTGCCGGAGCCAAGATCCACTACACATACTACCTGCGGTGGCCTTTGCGAAGCCTCTTGAAAAGACGCCTGGGTCGTGGCCAAGCGACGCCCACCCCCCTACTCCATCGAAAACCCCTAGATCCAGAGCACCGGAATCACCGACGTTGACGAAGTAGGCGTCATCGCCTCCTGAGGTTGAACGCATTACCCACATGATGACGGGGGTAGGGGGAGACGAGAGCTATGTCACTGCTGGGCGGAGAGTGGAGGTGGAGAGGGTAAGTGCTCTCGAGCTGACAGTCCCGTTTGGGGTTGGCAGAAAAAGGATGACATTCAACGTTGCAGAACACCGCACCGCCATTCCGCGATCGACAACGAAGCAACTCGAGCGTCGGACCTATACCTGCAGAGACAATATGCATTCAGTTTGAAAGGAATTGCAGCACAGCGGGAGATAGGGCATCTCTCCTCCTGTGTGCTGCTGTGTGCTGCTGTAGGAAGCTGGTGCCGAGCCACCTCAGTCTAGCCACCTCATCATCAAACCTACCGCCTTAGACGGGTTTATCCCTGTCGACAATGTTAACCATCAGTAACAACAACAGTGTTCCAGCGAAGAGCGCCATGTGTTATGCATATGAAGGTACAGTAGTTAACATACCCTCACCTCGCGCGGCTTTGTCGGGTCGAGCAATCATGGAGCTATCAACATCCAGCGTGAGCGTCTGTTGGGCTTTCAAATTTTGAACCCCCCACGGCTTGCTAGACTTGATACGTGGTGGCGCCCAACCCGCTGGATTGACGAACGCAATGGCATGCGTTCCTCCTGCAGCAGCCAGGACAGTAGAGAGGGCGCCCCTCATTCTCCCCGCTGCAGTGAGAGCACAAGGCAGCTAAGTCGGAACTGTGGTCGATCGAGTGTAACATGCAACGCCCACCGACACGCTTCTCCGGGTGTTCAGTTTACTGTGAAGGCGGACCTGGGGGGGGTGAACGCTGCACACACTCATGCGTGTGACGTCAAGTCAAGTCAAGCAACGTCAAGCAACGTCAAGTGACGTTCGTGTCACAGAGTTAACATCTCACAGAGTGATGGGGAGGTGAGCGAAAGACGGGGGCTAACCCGACCATGCAAGCATGGTACTACGCTTACGGGCAGTCTGTCTAGCCTCGCTAGCTGTCATCGACCAGTCAGCGCTAGGGTTCATTGCCCTAAAAAATCCACCGCATCATTCGATCGGGGTTCGACCTCGGCGATGTCCTGCGCATAGTGCGACAGCCCGATACCAGTCTCGATTTGACCTTGGCCAGCCCAGCGTGGAGTTAGCTCTGCTTGGTCTCAATATCACGCGTGGGATATCGGCGAGCAAGTCCCGGCGAGGAGGAGACTTTGTTGCAGGAGGACCGGAGCAGGCCATCTTCCGTCTACATGAAAGGCGAATTAGGTACGGTCGGCGGCAGTACGACCCCTGGAAGCCGCCGTCTGGTATCCATCCTCGATTATGACTGCATTGTTCAATCGACTTAGTGGTCTACTAGGTTCGCCCTCTACTGGACGCTTGTTGTCAAACAAAATATTAAGCGTTGGAGCACGTGCGTTCGACTTGCCTGTGTGCCCTCTACCATTGTTCGCTTTATTTTTCATTACCAAGCCAACAGCAGTAGACTAAATCGCAACTGCATTGTGGAATCAAGATACCTTCTTGCTGTGGTCGACTACTGTACCCAACTTACCTGATGTAACCGAGTGGCATTCCGCCGAACAACGTCCGCAGTGGCCGAGACAACCATGACTTAACCAAACACCTGTCATGGGCAGGGTGACAGCCGGCAGACAGTTGCCGCTACGAAAGGTGATTTGCTGCTCTATTGCGTGGTGTCTAGGCTCTGCTTGTGTTCGCAACGGGGGAAACATTTTTTGTACAGCAGTGGGTCGAGTCTCTAAATGATTTTTACAGAAAATATACAACTACATCTCTATCCGTAGATGGAATTCAAGGATCCGTGATTTGTGTACCTGTATATGTGTAGACTAATGAACTCGAATCGATATGGGTAGGGTAAATTGGTGTTGAAAAAATGACTTTTGGAGCAGGATCCGGCCAATCAACTTTCGAATGCAAAATAATTAACCAGCAGAAACGGGTTCGTGTCTTGCAACACAGGGGGCTCGAGAATACCAAGTCTGAGTACGTTACGGCACATCTAGCTTGCGCTCGGAGTGGCGATACCGGCCGTGCTCTGTTTCTCCTTAGGCATGCTGCGAAGCGAGGCGTGCCCTTGCTCGCTGTGGACGTCGCAAGTGCCATGCGTGTGGTCTGTAAACAAGGGACCGGTTGGAGACAGGCACTTCCTCTCTACGAGGGGTTCTTGGAGCTTGCTCTGGAGCAAGCGCGGGCAACGACCAGCCCGTTGGAAGAAACCCAAGCAGGTCGTGCGGACGTAGTACCCGTACCTCTGTTGCGACAGAGGCAGCAACTACACCGTCTGAAGGAGGTCGCTCCGGGGTGGGAAGACGTGTGCCAGGCTGCGCTCGAAGCCTGCAACATTGGGGGGCAGTGGGAGGCTGCTCTAAAAGTTCTTAGTGTTTTGCGTGCGGGTGGGGGGGGGGCGGAGCTGAGTGAGGCGGCTTACACTGAAGCAATCGAAGTGTGCGGCAAAGGTAGAGCGTGGGATATGGTACTTCTCCTGGTGGCCGAGATGTCCAGCGACGAGATCCCCATGACGGCTGCAACCTTCGAGACTGCTCTGAAGGCGAGTGGAGATCCGTGCTGTGTGGGAACACCCCCGTTTGAGTTGTTGCCGGAGAGCCCCACATGTGGTTCTTATGTTGGTTATTTTGCACGATTGGCAGAGTAACGGAGGCATCCGTTTGACTCTGGCATCCACGCACCCATCTCGGTTTTTCCTCATGGAACCGGCCATGGCAGGCACACTAGTCGACCATGATTCGCCTGGCTAACCTTTAAGTCCTTGATACAAGCCCATGTGTTTTTGCAGGGGTGTGCTGCAACTGGTGCATGGAGCTGGGCCCTGTCACTACTAAGGTGCATGTCGACGTCCACAAATGGTCCAAACGGCATCCCTTTGAACGCGGCGCACTATCTCGACGCTCTGCGTTCGTGCGCCGGAGTAGTAGACAAGCCTGGCGGGCCCAAGGCTCAGGCGGCCGCGAAAGCTGCCCTGGGTCTTCTTCAAGATGTTCGGGAGAACGGCTGGTTGGTCGGGCAGCAAGGAGAAGATCTTGTGTATTGTGCAATGAAGACTCAAGCTGCGGCGAGAGATGCATGGGGCGCCCTCGCTCTGCTCGATCAGGATGACGGACTACCTCGGAGCGTTATGTTGAGAACCGGCGCAATGCAGGTAGTTACCATTGCTAACCTGGTGTCTACAGAGTCATGTCGTTTTGACCATGCAGCGATGAATTCTCCTACCCGTTCCCCGTGACGTGTTGACGTTCTCAATTCCATGCTTCTCTTTTCATCCAGCTCTCAATTTCTTGCCTCAGGCGTGCAGTGGTGCTGGAGAATGGCGTGCTGCTCTGTCTATTCTCGAGGACATGCAGGCTGAGGGTTTGCGTCCGAATGGCGCTGCATACGTCGCCGCAATGGAGGCGTGTGCTCGCGGCGGTGTAATGGATCTGGCGTTGGAGCTCCTAGACAGGGTTTTGATGTTTCACCCTCGAGACGAGAGGGTGAGAGTGACTATTGTAGCTGTGTCCCACAAAATCTTCCATGACCGCAGTGATGGCTTGATATACACAGAACCCCAACAAACTCTTCCACGACCATATCCGTAAAACCTTACAACACTTACATCCCCAACTTGAAAAGAAGCGCATGAGCGTGACACCGTAGATGGCGTTGTGGTCTATGGTTATAGGTTTTGGGATGCACGGCCTGCTGGAGCTTCGTCGGTTACGGGTCCCGGCTGCCCCCCCTTGTGTTGTCGTTTCTACAAAATAAACGTTGCAGACAGTAACCGCGGCCTTTCACGGTGCGATTAAGGCTTGTGGGAATGGGGGACAGTGGGAAGAGGCAACTTCCCTTCTCCAAAGGATGCGACAAGACTCTCTGGCTGTCGTGACATCAAGAGAGTACAACGCGGCCATCATGGCGTGCTGTCGGGCGCAGCAGTCTGTCGCCGCTCTCACTCTATTGGGCGACATGTCGGTGGAATCAGAACACTGCAGTGCCGACGAAACGAGCTACGTCCTTGTGATGCGGGCGTTCGGACGGGAAGGGAGGTGAGAGTAGTGTTTGTGGGGCACGAGAAGCGCTATCGCCGTCGCCCTCACAACACAATTCGCACCAAAGCGTGCGATGTGAGTACGTAGACACGCCGTTATTTCCGGACGATAGTGAAAATCGTCATTGAAGTGTGCGTCGACGATCGATCTGTGACGCTTCGCGCGCCTTAATGCCCCTTTCCTAAACCTCCAGAGTTTATGCGTGAAACAGCTGGCGTGCACACTTGATGGCAGGTGGCGGACGGTCATTGATCTGATGGGGAGCCTGAAAGAGGAGGCCGGCTTGGTACCGACCGTATCCAGCTACAACGTCGTTATAGAGGCTTTGGCGAAGGCTGGGGAGTGGATGAAAGCTCTCGAAATGCTAGCAGAGATGAAGCAAGAAAGAGTCCGACCTACTGAGTTCACGTACAGCCGCTGCATGGCAGGTTCGCCTATAATTTTAGCTGTACGTTGCACTGAGAGCAGCTGGCTGCTGGAACCGTTCTGGTGTCTGTGTTATTTTGCCTCGTAGGTGGTGGATTTTTTTCAACGAGTATATGACGATGAGGTGTGCCCCTTCAACATGAAAACATGGTGATCGGGGCTCCTCTGTAAATCGAAGACTATATTTCATGGCAATTTCCTGCAGCGCCGGTGGTACCCTTCGTTTATGGGGTTGGGCGATTGTCGACTCATTGGGGATAGGGGTAGTCGAGGATAGGGGTAGTCGAGTGCTTGTGCTTTTGTCTAGACTGTCCCAAGTATTTGATTGCTTCTCGCCTCCTGTTGCGCGTTCCGACTTTCTGTTGAACTGGAACATCGCGCAGCGTGCGAAAAGAGTGGAGAGTGGGAGCGCACTCTCCTGCTCTTGGCCGACATGAAGGAACAAGAGGATCTCGTGCCTGATAGTTATATCTTCAGCACAGCAATGGTGGCATGCTCTAAAGCGGTGAGCTCGTGCTGTGTGCTGAAAGATAGATATCTGGTTTGTGTGGTTTTGATTGGAATGGATCGACCATCTACAGTAATGGCGTAGTAAGCTCTTTCCCGCCGACTACGTGTAGTCCTTCCGAAGTGGATACGTTGGACACATGTTTCACTGAATCTTTTCATTCTCCAATCTCACAGGGACGACTGGACGACGTCCTCGGCATTCTGCAGGAAATGCGGGAAATGTCCGCCACTAGCGGGCCTAACCTCGTGCTTTACAACATTGCAATTGGCTCTTGTGCGCGTGCGAGGTGAGATTCATGTATGTTAAATTGATTGCTGTAAAACATGGGGATTGGTGATGGCGGGTTAGTGCTCTCAACACTCATCATGTTGAGGTCTAACCCGCTCGAAACCGTCCTTTTTTCGTGTTCCAAGTGTTGTGCTGGTCCTGCTCCGAACAGTAAACGCCTCCGCTAAATCGAATCGCGCACGTATGATACATGTCTGCTACTCATCAATGTCGAGATCTAGCCCTCCCGAAAATTGTCCTTTTTTCGTATCCCAAGTGTTGTGCGGGTCCTGCTACGAACAGCAAACGCCTCCTCTAAATCGAATACCCCCTGGCATCTCTTCGGAGTTTTTGGATTTTGTCGTTTTGATCGTGTTGTTTGCCCGATGTTCCTCTTCAAACGACCGCACGCTCTTGTTGCAGTGTAGCTCTTGGGCTGCAAAGAGCACCGCAGTCGATCATATAAAACCTAGGCATATCGTGTTCTTTTCTATGCTGGTATGATTAATACAGGGACTGGCCAAGGATGCTGGAAGAGATGGACAGGATGAGGCGGGAAGACATCGAGCCCGAAGAGAGCACCTTTGCCGCCCCCCTCGACACCTGCGGTAGGACCGGCAACCTGCCGATGGCCCTCGAGCTTCTCGACCGCATGCGCGAGGACGGCATCAAGCCGGGAGTCGTAACGTATGGTTATGTTGTCGCGGCGGCATGTCGGGCCGGCGAACGGACATCGGCGGCGCTTCTGTTGGACGAAATGGAAGCGGCGGGTCACCCGCCGAACGAGAGGACCTACGGCGTGGCAGCCTTGGCTTGTCGCGAGGGAAACAACGCTGACGCGGCGATTGACTTGCTGCGACGCAGGCAGATGCAGGGGCTGCCGCCGGATGCGCTGATTTTGAGCTGTGCGGTGCAGGCGTGCTCGAATGCGGGGAATATGCAGCGCGGCTTGGAGCTCATCACAGAAATGAAGAGCGCTGGGTTTTCCCCCGACAGGGCATTTTACCATAGCGTGATTGCGGGGATAAACGCCTCCCTTGCTAGTCGGTTGTAACGCACCGATGGCGATGTAAAGAGTCTTGGAACAGTGTCAAGGTCGGTGCACCTCGTTTGCTGATATCAAGGCACTGGAATGTAGGTATGTGTTTAATTTTGCAACCCTCGTCGCTGTTGCACTTCAATACGTTGCACGCTTGTTTGGGGTTGCTCGTCGGTGCATTAATAGACTACATACAATGTTGAGTGAAGTGTGGTCGGCGATTTCTCGTGTTGTCTTGGGATGTTGTGAGACGATTGATATTAATGTTACACCCAAAATCCCATGAATTTGTATCAATCAGTTCGAGAGGGACGTTTCTACGTACGCACAGCTCGCGTCGTTCCCGAGCTTTTTGCTCTCGCAAAAAAGAAGCATGTTCGGTGTTGGAGGATTGGTTCAGAAAACGCTCCCGATCCCCCGATCAGTGTTGAAGGATTGGCACATTGGCACTGGTTTTCTCTTTTTCTCTCTTTTTTTCTCTCTTTGTCTGTGTCAGATGGCCTTGTCTCTGCTTGCGTTGTGAAGTACCAAGATTGAACCAAGGGGGTGTACCTCTTTCTCTCTGGCCCGTCATGCCGACTCCTAGTCTCAGTTGTTTCCTCGCATTGCGCGCAGAGGGAGCGGAGGACTCCAGAATATCTGTCGTTGATTTCTATTTGACTTGCGGACCCCTCGGGGCCAGTTTATTTGAGTGTACTTTTTTTAAGGGTAAGTTAGCCTGTGACCACGGGAATCGACCGCGTCAAGTGTTGGATAGTGCGGACATATGAAGGTACTGGGTAGAGAGAGATCGGAACGGTTTTGAATGTGAAGACAACAACAACAACAACTGCTGTGGTTGTAAGAACCTCGATGTTTGTTTGCTTCGGGAAATTGCCATTCGTGACCCCTGGCTACATGATCTGGCCGGCGTGTCCGATCAAGGAAGGATTCCTACGAGTATTACTTTAGAAGACTATTAGGAAGGATTGATTATCAGCTCCATGTTTCTGTATTGCCCGCCCATCCTTCCTTCAGTAAGTAAATGGTGGTTTTTTATCAGGCTACAGCAAAAATCTCAATTACGCCTGCTTCACCCCCAACTGTTGAGTGTCCACGACGCACATTGACATCTAAGATCTTGAGACTGCTGTGGTTGTATCTCGAACGGGTACAATGTAGCCTCTCTGTGTTTGTATTATTCTTACTGAGATACATGTATCTATTCTACATACATACATACATACCATACTTTACAAGCCTGTACAATAGATCTCCAGCAGGATCTACCGTCGGATCTCACCGACACACCCACCCGCATTTATTTTTTTAAGTCAATCACAGTTGTCAATAGAGCTTATTAGTAGAGGTCACAAATGAGACGAGCACCTACGACATGAAGCTGCGGTGGCTTTTACCCGACAACCGTTCTGGCTACTCTGCTGTAGACTACCTCTCCCTCCCAAGTTTTTAGATACATATCCTGCATGCGACATACATAGCATACATACATACGGAGGTGCACGGTTTCGGTCGGTATTATACCTCCCTTAACTCAGCCATTAGATAACGAGTGCGCCATATAAATACATCAATGTCAGATCCTTCATGAAATTGGAGTATTATTAGGCCCTCCCCATGAGTTAGCCGCAGCACGACCAGCACCACCAGCAGACCGCTTCGGAAAACACTCCGCAGAGCAGAAAGAGGCGTTGTTTCTCAGGGGAAGAATGTCCCCCCCCCCCCCCTTTGAAAAAAGAAAAAAAAGACGACCGGCAGAGAGATAGAGCAAATCATCCCCAACACACCACCGGCCCCGTTACCTGGGAACAGCAAGGAGGACAGCGTATCAACAACGGAGCTGTGGGAGAGGAGGATAGACCAGCGCGGGTTTCGGGTGTCGGCGACTGGAGGTAGATTCGCCATATCACAGAAACACTTTTGTTTCGACTTTTTGCCGGTCACAGCCGAATCGTGGAAGCGAAGGGCGAGAGAGCCTGATGGAGCAAACGACGGTGGCTAGCGGCGGTGGCAATCCCGAGAAGCTGACGGCTAATGGGAAGGAGCGTGCGGTTATTACGAAAGTGGGGAAGCGTTCGGATTTGGGTTGGGAAAGCCGTGGATGGAAGTTCACTCAAGAGGAGCTCGCGAACCCGCCCTCGCTCAGGGACAACATGTGAGAAAACCCTCCTTTCGCCCTTTCTGACGTTTGTGAGACTGCAGCAGGTGGTTGGGCGCGTGGAACGGAAGAGGGGCTGTCATAGGACGATCGATGTACATGGCCAATCCCTTTCGACGCTGTTTACCTTGGTTCTCGTGCCCCTCTCGCCGTCATGTGTTTGGTTTATTTTTTGCGGGCATGACTCCTCTCGACCACCCAGTAGCACTTGGACCAAGTATTGACCACCGCGAGCGGGGGACCCTTTTGTAGAGGCAGAGACGGAGGGAAAGCTCACACTGGAACGCGCGGAACAACCGTAGACAAGTAGATGAGAGGGCCATCTGCATCCATATCGACGTGCACGTAGTCACCGTGGACGTGGGTGGAGTTATATATGTTGTGTTTTGATACAAGTTCTGTAATACGCATCTTGGTGGTACGAGTTATCCCCCAACTCCTCTTCGCATTTAGGTCCATTTTCGAATGTAAAAGAAAAAACAAAAAAACGACGAGTGGCACACACATACCTTGCTCCCAACAACAATAAACACACACCCCTATTGTCTAATCTGGTGGCCATTTTTTTCTCGAAGGAATCTACACCGGGGAGATGCCTGTACCTCTTGTTTCGCGCCTAGTTTATCTACACTTTCGTATTTGATTCCTGTGTTTCTTTGGGAACGGATCGATCGACCGATGTAGATAGAATACATAGCTGTCGTTGTTGTTGATGTTGCCGATGTTGGTTGGCGATGGTATGGTAAAACTCCGCAGGTACGTTGGTCCTGCCATGATGCATTTTGTACGCGTATGCACATGCATAAAAGATGTCACCACTACTCCCCAAACCCAAAAACAATTAATTAACACAAACACCCCCATATATTATAATTATATTGGGGACATGTATGGGCGCATGTGTGCATTGAGACGGTTCCATATGCACACGATATCACCTATCTGCATATAGAGCTGCGAAGTGTGCTTGCGCACTTCGATTCAACTGCTTATATCCGATATAACATTCGGAGTGCTGGTGCTGAGTATCGGTGCTCACGGCATGTGACAACAACGCCCGTATTAAAAATCACTGCTAGATACTCATATCCTCGTCCTTCATTGCGGCACTTGTCTTCCTATTTTGGCTGTGTATCGTTGAAGAACTTGAAGTTGCACGCATTAAACAATTCTGTTGAGCCTGCTGTATACATGTTTTGCTTGTCTTTCGGTTCCCACTCTCGCGCCGCAGGAACGATAGCGAGGAGAAGGAGTACCGAAGAAAGGCACACACATTCATCTATGACTGCTGCCAGGTTCTCCGAGCAAAGGCGCTTGTGATTGCTGCCGCGATGACCATCTCCCAGCGGTATTTTTCTCAAGTCTCCTTCAGGAAGATCGACCGGAGTGTGAGACGCGTTTCCCGCTTCCCGACTGAACGAAGTGCAGTTGAAACGAGGGGTGCTAACGACTTGGTCGAACGCAATGGTTGACGGGAACCTTCAACCTCTAGAGTTCCAGTAATCGGGGCGATCGGGGATGGAGGAGGAAACATTTACTCCGATGGATAGAACACTTCCTTCCGAAACTGCTGGTTACTGGTTCGAACTCGGCCTGTTGCTGTACAATTTTCTTGCACCGTTTCAAACCTAGGATATTGCCCTATATCCCTAACCGCATGTTGGAGCTCTGGCACAAAATATTAGTATACTTAAAACGTGTCTCATGCATTCGGTTCAGCACATGTTTGAAGAAAACAGCCGCAGGCTGCCGAGATTTGTGGGGAGATTGCAAGGTATTTCGTGCTCCAGCTTTGGTTTTCATGGTATAGCAGATGTTTCCTTAAAATACGACAAATGTCATTAAGATCGCTGCCTTGGATGCAATCATGTTGTGTCGTTGCCACTCAGGACACTGCTGCGGCGGCTATCTTCTTGGCCTCCAAGGTTGAAGAGTTTCGCGTTCACATCAAGGATGTGATGATGGTGACCCACAGAGTTAGGCACAAGAACGAGCGCAGGCTCGTAGAAAATTCCGATGTGAGTTTGGATACCGGATCATTTGTAGAGGTGGTATTATGATTATACATGTATCAATATCTCAATTGTACGATTATTTTCAGTCTACAGCAGTACGCCAGAATGTACCCAGTGGGTAGCTCGTGTACATTGTTGTAAGTGCGATCCATTTGTTTATCCACCGGTGTTTTATTGCGAAGTGTTGGCAAGCGAAGATACATTTTCACGGCGTGGATTTCATGCGGACCATCGCCGAGTGGGTTTTGTGGGGCATCTGTGAACAAGTCAGTCACACCGCTCCGCCGCGTGCCCTTGGGTTTCAGGAGTACAACAGGTACAAAGACCGCCTGTTGAAAGCGGAGAACCAGCTGGTGAACGCTTTGGGGTTCGACTTCATGATCGAGCACCCCTTCGGTCACTCCAACGACCTAGTGGCCTACCTTTGTGAAGAGGGTGAGGCACGGGGGCCTCGTCGCGGACTTGCGTTTGCTTCCTGTCCTTTGAGACCGAGTATGTGCCGAAGAGGGTACCGTGGTTTGACTAGCGGGAAGCGGATGGTGGTTGCGTCGTGTTGTTGGCAGGGGATTGTGGTCGAGGTGATTATTTCGCGTAAGGGGACCAACACCCAAACATGTTGTACGGGATACACCTGGTGCATGTGCAAACCGCACGTGTGCAGCAGGCAAACAATTGCCCAAATTGGCCTCAGCTTCATGGTCTCTGACAAGTGGCACAGCCCATGACACAGATGTCATGAGCATGCGGACAGAAAATAGGTACACGCAATGCACGATATCGCCTTGTCGCATGCCATTTCTTGCGATGACTTGGCATGCTCTCACGCCTCGACAACGCGTTCTCTAATCCTGGCATAAAAGGCTGGGTGCCGGCAGACAAGTCGGCACTGATCTCCAAGGGCTCTCACCATCTGTTGATCAAGAGGTACGTTGGCGTTGTTCTAGCTAGCTTTGGTTTGCGTACCTTCGCGTGGAAAGTCGCGTGCATGTTTGTGGTTGTTGCCGCGAACACGAGGAGCAATCCCTTGCCTGGTGTTGGAAGCAGTTGAGGCAGCATCAGAGCGTTGCGAGCAGGCGATTTGCGATTCGCTGTGTTCTGGCAAGCACGAAGCAAAGCTTGGCCGGCAACAAGGGCAAGGGAAGGAAATGGGGGCCGATCAGTGCACCGGGTCTTGTGCCTGACGGGTTGCTGAAGTCGGGGGCGTGTGGAAAGAGCAGGTTGGGCGCCGCTTGTGAACTTGTCGATGGCGACAGTCCTTTGGTTGCACCACTTGGCCCTACCGCGCCCCTAGCCCCAGCCCATCCTGGTGTACCGAGAGAGGTTGCATTTTTTCAGCTCCCTTACCCTCGCTCTTATGCACGATCTATACGTGTATAACCCACCCTTTGTGGAATCTTCACAGCTTGAGGGGGACATTGTGCCTCGAGTACCCGCCGACTTTCCGCGCGAGGCTGGTGACGTACCTGTCCCTGCTTGTCAACAACATCTCGCCACCGCCGGGCGGCTGGGCTGAGATGATCGAGTTCGAGGACCACCGCCGACTCAACAGTACGTGTGACTCGCCGTGTTGTAGTTCACTCTTGGCATTTTCGAAGAAGCGGTACCTATCGGTTTGATCGATCGTGTTGTTTAGGACACCCGAGACATGGTCATGAGCGTTTTCGAAACCTTGGCAGAGGTACAAGTTGGCTGGGTTTGGGTAATGTCGTTTTGCGACACTTGGACGATACCCATTGAAACAGGTGGATAGATATGGACGTGTATTTAAGGGACAAAATACCCCGAGCGAAACGAGCTACAAAGCGCTCGCAGAGGAAGACACGTCCAAGAAACGAATGTAGGAATCTGGCCGTTTGTGTATGTTCTCATTCTGTTAGTCGCGCTCGCTCCTCCGCTCGACCTTTTTTTGGGGGTTGGGCAGGAGCGGCATGCCAACTACTGGAAACGCTGGACGATGACTCCGGCAAGACCGGCAAGAAAATCACCAAGAAGCGTGTTGCCGCCGCCCTGGTTGAAGCGGGCCACATTAAGAATAAGAACGCCCCGAACCGAGTCCCGCGCCAGCCCACAGGGCTGACTTACGCCGACCGGGATCGGATGGCGGCACGGTCTTCGTCTGTCCAATCACCCCACGGGTTGAAGCGGGGGATGGGGGGAGGAGACCTGAACGGCACTGCCGTCGCGTCACGCAGTGGATCGTCATTTCACGACAGGTCTTCATCGACCGGTCAACCGCGCCCGAGGCCACCCAGCGGCCCATCTCTTGCCAGTGTCCACTCGGAGTCGGGCAAGAGGCGGCGTACGGAAGATGCAACGAGCAACGGGAACGCGTCAAGACCTCGCCCACCGCCACCACCACCGCGGACGCCTAGGCCCCCGAGTACTCCCAAGCCAGCAGGCACACCCAAGCCCCCAAGCACTCCCAAGCCCCCAAGTACTCCCAAGCCCCGACCGCCTTCTACAGCCAAGCCCAGACCTCCTTCCACCCACGGCCAGCTGCCCAGCAGCAACTTCAAGCCACGCCCACCCTCAACTCCAAAGCCGAGACCGCCGTCCACTCCAAAGCCCCTCTCCACGAATGGCCAGCCGCATAACAGCAGCAGCTGCAGCAGCAGCAGCAGCAGCTCCAAGCCCAGACCGCGGCCACCACCCCCGCGCCTGCCGACCACCCCTTCTGCCGCGAATGCGTACACGGACTCCGGTAGCAGGCATTCGGCGACGCCCTTGTCGTCGTCGGTCCCTCCACACCCTCCCAAGCCCCACTCGAGTACCCCCAACGGAAGCATTAGCAGTGCTGCAATGCCGCTGCAGAAGAGCACCGAGGCGAGGCCACCTAGGTTGTCGGACGGCAGGGTTGGTATCACCAGCGGCTCTCCTCCGAATGGGAAGGCCGGAGCCAGTAGCGCACAGGGGGTGTCCACGGGCGGGGGGGAGGAAGGAAAAGGCAAGAGGTTGCGTGACGCAGGGATAGGGGATAAGTCATCTGCTGACCCCGGCAGCGGGGGCAAGAGATCGAGACTGGGCGGCAGCGGGCAAGGGGCAGAGTCTTCTGGTAGTGCGTCGACGGTGGCTTCCGCTGCCGTTAATGCGATAGAAAGCGGGGAGGTAGAGGACGGGGAGATACCGATCAACGCGGTGCCGGTGCTGAGGGCGTGAGCCCTCATCGAGTACGATGTGTGTTGGAGAGGTCAGGCTCTGGAGAAGGAAGGGGCAAGGGTTGCGAAATATCTGTCCCCCGTAAGAGGGAGGATGGTTTTTTTTATACCACTTCATGTGGTGGGTTCAGGCAAAATCTCCGAATGAACACCAGCAGCAGTAGTACGCACTGTGGTCGTTTGCGGTTGGAGGGTGACGGTGTGATTTGACCCCGTTTTTCGAGGGGGTAGTTGTTTGTTTGCTTACTCTGGACTCGGTATGAGGGGCTTTTTGCGTTGTTTTGCCTTCCTGCTGTACCACAGAAGAATGGGCATATATTTCAAGTGCTGTGATGCCTCCCATACACAGCCTAGTTGATGTCCTTGCGGTTTTGGGATTGACTGCAGGTAGGTCTGCGGTTCAAGCAAGAAGGTTCAGTTATTTCATTCCTGCCCCCAGTAAGGGCATTTCATGTTGGCCATGGAGTGTGTGTTCGTTGCGACTCTAATTCCACGAGTGCAGACGTCCGCGATGGAGACATGAAGAGATTAGACTTGTAAAATATTTAATGCCTTGTGCACGCACGTTTCGTGTAGAGCGGTAGGTGATCTTGTGTTTCCGTGTTGCTACCTAGTGCCCGTGAGTTTGTAGCGCGCTGAATTCCCGATATTCTCCACCCCAGAAACGTCGGTCTTGGAACGGGTTTTCGGAGGTTTGAGTTGTGCGTATAGATGAAAAATGAAGAAAAAACGTTGGTATGTGAGCTTATACGGACATGGAAAAACGCAAGGTCGGTAGGTAGTGGGCGGCCCAGAGAAAGTGACGGGAATGCTGCGCCATGTCTCCTTAGGTTTGCCGGGCTGTACCATTAGGAAAATGTGCATGTTCTTGACGGGTTCGACGGAAGACATTGCAAACAGGGTAAGGGACATAACACGGTACGCACGCGGCATAGCAGAATGCTGCTGCTACTTCTGCCACTTGTGTTTTCCACATGCTGGATGGGTGATTTGCTGAAAGGAAATGGACAAGAGATGAGCGTTTATTTTGTTTGGTGGTCGGCCAACCGCCGGCCAATGAACCCGCACGGCTGAATTTTGACCAGCAAGGCTGGTGAAGGCTGGTGGAAGCGCCGGCCCGTCGAATCGACGAATTGATTTGATGCGGCTAAGCGTACTCTTAATCGGCTGGCGCAAGGGATTTGCTCTTGAATCTAAAGCAAAAAGAGGCTAGTTGCTCAAAACATGCTATATTTACTTGTCTCGCGCTGCATCCCTTCACGTTGAGACTCAGTCAATACTGTAGCGATTGACTTTTTTTTGCCCGAGTCGGCTGGTGGATGAACCCTAACCCTTGTAACGTCCTTTGCTCTAATCTTCACCTCTCCAAGGAGCCGACCCACGCTGCTCCTCGTCAAGAGTGTTGAACCGCGGCCGCCAAATCTACACCAGCCTTCGACATGACAAAAAGTAGACTCTATCGCAGGGTGATTTTCACCCGAAGAAAAGGGAGTCGATGTTGTTGGAGGTTTCCCGTCAAAACGCCCATGTAACCGGCGGGGAAACACTCCTCGTGCGTGCCAACACGAAACACGCCATAGTTCCGGCCATCACCAAGCTTGCACTTGCCCGTACGTCTTGCTAATGTAGTCTCAAGGAATTCATGCCCTGAGCTTTTTGTCTACTTCTATCAAGTGCTCCTCCCCTGTTTGTCCCCAACAAGACGAAGAACAAGTGACAGGGGTCCCAGGGGGGGGCGATGCACGCATACAAATCACAACAGAGCCAGGCGACAGCTAACAGAGTCGAAATACTGTAGTCGTTTCTTGGGATCTGGGTTGAGCAGGCCCTCCAGCAGTCCTCTCGTACGGCCGTCCGTCACCCCCGACAGATCCACGGTAAACTGCGGCTGTCCGACCGCGGCAATAGTCTTAAAAGTAGAGTGCAATTCAAGTGACACGAGAAAAAAAAAACAGAGGTACGATAGATGTGAACGTTAGGCCGAGTCTTACGGCTTGAATATTTCGGAGATTTTTCTTTTCTCTCGGTCGAGGGGGGGGTGTTCTGCAACGGAAAAATCATCTGGATCCAAACTACCTTCTTACGGTTCCTCGAGGCATATTTTTTCCTCCGGGGGAAAAAAATGGCCGATTCAAGATTTTTGTGGGTCACAACATACTTCAGTTCACGGTTTTGGCTCGTGTCCGACCAACAAGACACCGAGCGCCCTGTTTTTGGGTCGCCTGCTGAGGGCATGTGTATCATCGCACGCCATGGCTGCAGTTTGTGGATGTCGTCGGCCAAAGGCCTCTCTTTGGCATGCGTTGTGGACTGATCACGCTCGAGCAACCAGAAAAAAAACGGCTTCATCCAAAAAAAGTAATAAACGCAAAACACTTCCGTTCACGTATACAGGCCGTGTGCAATCAAAACTGGACAATACGCTCTGTTTCTGGGACGCGAGCAGAGCATATGTGAATGACCAACGCCATTGGCTGCTGTTTGTGGATGTCGTCGGCCAAAGGGCCTCTCTCTGGGGTGCGTTTCAACTGGTCACACATGCAGCAGGCGTAAAAACGGCTCTTTTCGGCCGAAAGGCAAGAACGTCAGCAGAGCAATGTGGCAGGGCTAACGTTTTCGGCTCTTGTGCGGCCAACACGACGCAGAACGCCCTGAATTTTAGCTACCTGCAGAGGGTTTGTGCATGACCTCATGATACTGGCCTCTGTTTGGCCAGCAGACGGTGTAGTTCCTCGTTCTGGCACGATCGGGGTGTGACCAGGGGGTACCCCCCCCCATTTCTAACAGCGATATTCCAACCCGATCGCTGTTGGAAAATGGGCCAACTTTCTAACAGGCCAGCCAGAATCGCTGTTGGAATTTGGGCTGTTGGATTTTGCCATTTTCCTACCCGCAAGATGCCCAAATATTTTTGGAGGCTCAGAAAAGGACCCCCCCCCCAAATCCAATCCGGAAAAAATACTCAGCCTTACCACAGATTGTCTCGTAGAAAGCCACGTGCCAGATAGATGACCTGTTGGAGATCTAGCTACGTTCGGGGTGTTGCCACAGATTGGGGTCAGTGGGCCATGCCATACCCGCGTACAAGTACAGCCGGCCAGCTACCCCCTCTGTCACAACCCGCACAGCAGTTCCCTGTTCTACCTTTCTCACGAGAGATTGCATTTGGTGTGTACCGTTACAAGTGAGACCAACATCACCCCTCAGAATAGCTGGCAAAGAGGAGGGGTATGTATCGCCGTCGGCTCCTCAAACGTCGTTCACGGAAATATCCATTTATCCCATCCATCCTACGTCCTACATCCTACCGTTGAGGGCGGCCTGCAAAATGAACATACTGACAAGAAGGTACGCCTGTAAATTTTTGAAAAAAGAGGCAGATCGGTGCGTCCTTACCAAGGTACGTCCACAGGAACTTGGATAGTACAGAACATCCTGGTCTCGAAGCCAGCGACAGTGGGGCCGTGTCGCTACGGATTTCCGTCACGATCTTGTTCGTTTGGTGTGCTGGTGGGGCAAACGTTAACAACCTATCCGTGCACGCTACGACACATGCCAACAAGAGCTGCCCTCGGTTATTATCACAGCAGTTGAGGACTCAAGCACTATACTTGAGGTGCCAGCAGTCAATCCTCGCTCTGCGCGTTGATGCCCACAGCGACTCGACATCGACTTTGGAATGGGCGTGAAAAGAATTCAACGACGTGACAAACACGGCAAGAGAGAGTCAGAGAGGGTGGACAAGACCAGGAAGGTGTTGCTTGGACACTCCGCGCTGGTGCAAGCTCGTGGCTTGTTTGTGGCTACGCGTCCAAGCAGGCCAACCTCCTGTGCCGGGACTCTACTAAGTCTCCACACCCAATGCGGTCACTCACCTGGGGGTCACTGCTACCCTGAAAGTAGCTCCGTCCCGTGTACAAGTGCAGTACAGCCATACCCAGGCTCCAAACGTCGAAACTACGATCAACTGTCACACCCGCAAACTGGAGTACGCGCAGGAGAACAAATGGACACGAGCAGTACAAGTGACATAGTGACGTACGTCAAAGACGAGACACGCAACAGATGAAACATTCGCATATACTACCCGAGGCAGACACCACGGCTTCGCGATAAATTCAACGACAGGCCTGGCAACCTCTGCAAGTTCGTTTCCTTGTTTCCTTGAACCATGCGAACCAAATAGTCCAACATAAACGTTTATGGATGCTTCGCGTATCACCCGACACTTTGTCAAACGTAGAAACAGCAAATTGAAGCGCCGAACTTCGAGACGAAGTGCGGCGTCATGCAACCCCCCCCCTCCTACAAACATGGGCTCACCCCACCCCGGGATGCGATGACAAAGTCTGGGGGCATTGTAGCAGGAGTATAGCTCTTGGGCCCTGAACGCGCTGGCACGGCACCCTCCAAGTCTATCGCCTTCGCCTCATCTCGCTCGCACAAAACAAAGTTGTCCACCTTGAGGTCGGTCCACACCAGGCCGGCCTTGTGAACACATCTAAACCGGCAACAAACGTTCGTGTGGGCATACCGCAGAGGAGGGGGGATGAACGAAATCACCGCAACACGGCTGAAATCCATTCTAGCCTCGTTGACTTGACATCACAACACCTTTCCACCCTCGACCTAGTACTGCCTGCATAAAATACAAGAGAGCGAAGGAGGAACCCGGAAACATCGAACCGGCGAGCATCTGAACACAACAGCGAGATCCCACAAAAGCACACATGGAGAAACAGTCCGGAGGAATAGAGTTAGAAAAGCGCCCATCGCTTGGACTCGGGAACTACTGAAAACAAAGAAGAGAAAACGAATATAACGTCACATGTCGCGAAGAACTTCAAGAACCAAAATCACGCCAACACACTGAAGAGATTCAGAGATACACCCAAAGCGAGGACGCGCCCCCCTTCACTTTCAACGTGTCTACTCACCGCATAGCGCTGGCCATGGCTGCGCCGTACTTCCTCAGCTTGTTTTGGGACAGCCCCCCCCCGTTGACTTCCGCCAGCTTGCGAAGGTCGGTGCTCCCCGCCCGCATCACCATTGCAAAGTCTCCCCTGGGACAAACACGTAAAATGAGTGATACAGTACAAACATGGTCATGTTGCTGGTTGGAGTGAGGAACAAGGGATCACGGAGGGGGAACTCCATAATCAGGCGACTCTCGGGTCTATCTCGACAAAAGCAGTGACAGCACAGGTATCCCGTTGCGCAGTGTGCGAATGGCGAGGCAGGACTGTAGCAGATTCATCCATCTACTACCCGCTTCTTGCTCTGTGATCGTGTGCATCTGCTTCTTCACAGTTGTTCGAGTACGATCGAGGGACAGAATGCGCCAGAGTGACAATCTATCGTACACATCCTTCCAACGATTGATATCCTTCTTGTCGGAGTAATGCATCTGTCGATTGGGGGGTTGGTTTGGTTCTGTATAACTCAAACATCGGGATGTGTTCTACCTTCAAATGTGTCAACAGCAGCACGTGCAACAACATTGGGATCCACGCGCAGACTAGCACATGCGGCAGGAGCGTGAAGATCAAATGCAGTCAGCTCCACGCGAGAGCAGTATCAGCGGCAATGAAGCAGTACAACATTCTTGTTGCCAGGGCTCACCGGCCGTTGTAGTTGTCGATGTTCTCCTCGAACCCCACGAAATGCTTCGAGAAAGCCCCGGCCCCGTTTCGTGCACGGATCTGCTCCAAGTTGGACACTTCCGCCGCGACCAAGGCCACGTTAGACCGCGTCGTAACCTTGATCTTCAAGGGTGTGCTCTGTTTCACGCGTCCCCGAAAGAAAATGACACGAAAAAACAGCGAGGGTGGCGAATCTTGAACGGGCGGAATGCGTGGGGTTCTCTGTCTGCCTGTCTGTCTGTCTGTCTGTTTGTGTGCGTGCGTGTCTGTCCCATCTCTTGCCCTCCCCCCTGGCGGCAACTTGTCCCAGCTGGCGAAGTCATTCGTTGCTGTTTGTATTGTATGTGTCCAACATGTATCCGCTTATACAATTGTATCGAGGGCGGGAATGGATGCCAGGGAATGACGACAGGGGTACACGCTTAAAATGCAGGTGCCGTAGCAGAAAAGAGGAACCAACAAGGCACTTTCCCACAGTTGCAGCGCTCCGCACTTGAAGGAACTTGATACACCGCTATTCTCACCTCCTTTCCCACCTCCACCCCGTTGAAAATTGAGCTCTTCCCGCTGCTTATCCTCTCACCACCTTGGCTCATGATATACTGCTGTCCTCGCCCACCTTCTACGGTAACGTCTGACCTCCCACCACGCGATGCCCCCAAACGCCGAGTGGCACCACCGGGCCCGATAGCTCTTCCTCCGCTGGAGAAAAACATGACGCAAACAAGTCGCGGGAGCAAGGAATCATCCAGCGGAACGAGAACAATCAACTACACGTTGCTGCTACAACAGCGGCCTTCGATCTATCTGCTGTCAAGGGTGCATGAAGCTCGTACCTCCGGCAGAAAGTCATCCCACCACAGCACCACATGCTATCGCTATCTAAAGCTTCACAACGGTGTAGTCGCGGGGCACATACATGTAGAGCAGCAGCGCGAGAAAGACAGTGTCCCAAACACACACACACACACATACACACACAGGTGCATCACAAGGAGGACTCTGAGAGGCCTTGCCGGAGCATGCGCAACCGAAATTCCATTGCCCAAAAATGATAGGCGCTTACCTAGCCTTGGAGAGGAGGTTCCGCTTGCGCTTATCCGGCGTGGCCTCGAGAGCTGCCGCGACGGCATCCTCCAAATCGCAACCGGGAATCAATACTACCACGTCCCGCTCAAGGGACCGAACGAGGTCGCCTGCTGTAATTGCTCCTTGGGCGTACTTGCGTGAGGAAGTGATACAAGTTGACAACGAAACAAGCACTATTATGCGCGCCTCACAGCAGGCGTCACATCGGCTAACAGGTCTGTGGTCATCAATGTGCAAGGCAATTTACGAAAGCTCTTCTAGGCGTATCTACATGCAGTATTACTCCTGTGGGCGCGGACGAACCTGTGACATGCGCCTTTTGAACACGGCATTGCTGTTGACAGCTCGCTCCGCCTTCGACGCCGCAGGACTGCCAGCGCGGGACTTCGAGCCGCTCCCCCCCCCACCCAACCCGAACAACCCAAGTGACATGGCACGTGCACGCTCGTTTCCATGGCGACCAGAGTTCGACAACCGCCTGGGCCTGGGGCCCTGCTGACTCACACACAGACATGTGCAAGATTTCGCTGTGGTCGCTACAGCAGTACATGTAGTCCCTGGCCTACATGTAGTCGAGAGAGCGTTGTTCGCATCAGCCATGAGAAGCACAACAACGGCCATTCTTGTTGATACTACCATCTTTCCCCAGATTCTCCAAGGTCTTCTTGCTCCTCTCGTGTTCCTCATTCCTCCCGCACCTCTCTGCTCTCCTGAGAGTTGACCATCTGACCATCTGCATCATCAGGGACTGCTACATGTTCTATGAACGCATGCACGCCTACTCTCATTATTCAAGAAAAAAAAAGACCCACCTTCGTGACATGTGCCCGTCCAAGTTAGCCCGTCATCATGCGATGCAAGAAAGATGCCATTGTAGACAGGTGCCCCATCAGGGACCATCTCGTCTCTCTCTCTCGTTACCGAAGCTCTCCCGGCACGACCAGCAGCGCTCGAATGGCCAAGATCCGATGGGGACCTTGGAGCGGTGCTTCGAGGAAGTCTCATCGCATCCCGGCGAGGAATTCTGCGTGGAGCTTGGACGATGACCTCGTCGGACTGCAGAAGGTCTGTGTGTATGCCACGGGGCCCGGGTGCTATTGATCATTACAATGCTACCAATGTATGGATGTATGCGTACGCACTCGCCACGCTTTTTGGTTGTCCGTTGTTGGGTTGGTTCGTGCGGCTATTTGGTAAGCTTCGTCTGGTGCAGACCTTCGAGGCCTGATCCTCGCGCTTCTGAGCGATCAATCACCATTTCACCATTTCACCATTTCACCGTGAAGAAAAGTCCGTCGGCGAGATCGGCTCTTCGGCGAGATCGGCTCTTCCGCCTCTCCCGTCGCTCTCTCTCTCCCTGAGTGCATGTCGAACGTCGAATGTACCCGCCCTACATTACGCGAACTTTTTGCAGTTTCCCGATGTACGTTTGTTGTTTTCACTTCGAGACGGTGGGTCTAGACACGGACGGTGGTCTAAATAGTAGGAAGCCTCGGTGACTCGGCAGTGAAGAATTCAGAATTCAGAAATTAGCATGCAGTGCTGCACGGCTGAAAAAAAAAAAAGATGGCGGCGGAACAAAGAATATCGGCTTACACAGAAGAGCAGCGCGACCGGCGTACATCCACCCAACGCTAAAGGTTTACAGCAGTAGACTATTCCAATAGCTATCTAGGGAACCAAGATTTGCCGAATTCCGTCCACTGTAGGCTGAAAACTTGTCGGCGCAACCCGCAGCACGTGCCCGAAAAAAACGTGCCGATCGTATCTACGCGGCGCAACCACGCTGCTGTGCACCCGCCAAAGAGACCAAGCACGAAAACGCGCCCACCACAGCATCAATCGCCACAAACATTTGACGGAAAATGGACTGAGCGCCAGAGAATAGATTGCATAAGTTTTCAACTTAGTTAGTGCAGATGATCGAGAGGTAGGCACGAATGAAGTTGAAAACTTGCGTTCGCATATAGGCACCGTGCTTATGCCCTGCCACAGCGCCGGCAACACCGAGCATTGGTAATGTAAGCTGCTAATCTTGTGGTTGTATAGCAACTGGAATTGTGCTGCAATACGAACTACAGGTGGAGTACTCTTCAATGGCGTCAGCTAGGTTTGAACTGAAATTGCTGTTGGTGGTGCCCCCCTGTTATTGCACCGCACACGCTTGCTTGTGCCTGTTGGAGTCGGGACCGCAGACCTAGCAGCACAACTCTCCTGATTCCTAACGAAAAAAATGCAAGAAGGGTCGAGCGACTACTGTAAAACGGCACCTACGGTAACAGTGAGTTTGGCCACTGATAACGTTGTGCTACGTGGTGTCGCATGCAGGCACGGTCGGCATATATATGAACACATGTAAGTACTTGTCTCGATGTACATGAGTACGCCCTGAGCATTGGGTGTGGCGAGAACGCCGGAAATACTTACACACGAGCACCGCACACAAGATCGGGACCCCCGGGTTGCCCAAACCTATCAACATCACGCCCGAAGGATACAACAACTAACTTATTTACAGTCAGTACAATACCGGCCCAACGCACACAGCACCCCAATACTAGGTTTCCGGCAGTTTGCCGGAAAACGCGAAGAACAAAATATTATGCGAATAGACAACGGACACCCGGCTTGGCCGAAGAAAAATACCTCCCCCCCCCCTCCCCCTCGGCCTTGTTTGCCATCGGGGTTTGGGTTTTCGTCGCTTGGCAACGACGTTGTAAAACAAGCCGCCCCCCCCGGTGTTTACCATCGGGGTTGGGTTTTCGTCGCTTGGCAACGACGTTGTAAAACAAGCCGCCCCCCCCGGTGTTTACCATCGGGGTTGGGTTTTCGTCGCTTGGCAACGACGTTGTAAAACGAGCCCCCCGCTCGGTGTTTGCCATCGGGATTGGGTTTTCGTCGCTTGGCAACGACGTTGTAAAACAAGCCAATTCACTTCGTGAACTCGGCAACCAGGTTACCGTTTTTTTTTTTTTTTACCTCGGTTTTTTTTTTTTGGCGGTAACCATAATGGTGGTCGAGTAGATCATGTTGTGCGGGGTGGAGGACCCTCACTCCGCGCAACGGGGGATGATCGCACCACGTTGTGTTAAAAGCACCCTCGAGGCAGTTACACAGTGCTTACAACTGTCTCTGGAAGTGAAAGCACCAGAAAATAAATTAAGTCATACCTAGCTGTCATCCGTACGCAAGGAAGTAAGCACAAGATGCCGAACACCCTTAGCAGGATGCAGCTCACCCTTCATGCGACTCGCCAAATACCTCACGGCGCTTCGCGCTTGGTGATGTGAGAGCCTGGTCCGGTGAGAACCCGGCGTGCTCCGTCCCGGCTTTGTAGGGATGCGAGGTCAATGGTCAAACGACTACGGCATGCACGACTATGAGTACACCCCCCCCCCCGCCCCCCGGTCCACCTCCCTGCGCAACTAGGAACTAAAATTCGCCCCGGGCGGAAACGCGGGCTCTAGTCGGCTTGAAAGTATTAGGCTGGAGTTTGTCCGTCTGATGTCTCGTACCCCGGGGTCGTCGTATCTCGTGGATGGATGCATCCAACGGAAGTGAAGCACGGACGGACCTGTTCAACCACCAACAAGGACGCGCGAAGTATGTCATTGAAACATGGAGTTAGGATAATCAGACCACACGATCTTTCGGTACGACGTGGAGATCTGACGTGCAATAATGCCGGGCACGACATCCCCAACCCCAATCCCAAGGAACGATATATTATGTACCTGCCTGAAGAAGTGGCCAGATCTCAGTTCCAGGCGTCGGTTACGAGATCCGCAACCCCATCATCTGTGTCTCCATCACTCCAGTTGGAGTCGACGCTCTTCTCGCTCACCCCGTCAGGTTCCCCATCGCTGGAGCCAGATTCGCTCGAATCCAACTTGATCAAATCGTCGAGTGCTCCGACCGAACCGTCGCCGTTATCATCCGACTCGGGGTTCCTCCAACTCTGCGTTCTTAGATTCCGCGGCCTCGCCGGCGGAAACGTTCTTGCTCGCAGGCGACTCGGGGGTCCCCGCCTCCACGTCGTTAGGTTCCGCTCCGTGCGATTCCTGCTGCCTCATAGAAGCGGCAAAGAGTGCCATGGCGTTGGCAACACTGTAGGATGGCCGTGGTCGACTCTCGATGGGTGGCTGGGGTCGGGAGGTTCCCTCTACCCGTCTAGTTTGAGGAGCACCCACCGTAGGCCGTGACGCAGACCCCCCCGCTGCACGCACGGGTGCCGGCGCCGCCCGCCTTAGGGTGCAACGATTTCTGCAGCCGCAAGCGAGCGAGCACTTCTTGTTCTTGCACCTACACCTGTTGCACAGGGCCGTGTCCGGATTGCAACCACACGCAAGCGTGACTGTCTTTCGGTCAGGGGCGATGTAAGCATACTCGGACAGGTCAAGCACGCAGTTCTCCTTTGTGAGTTCGTCGCCGTCGCTCCCCTTTCCTCGTGGGTCGACGCTCCATCCTTTGCCGGCAAACTCTGTAGCCGGCATGGTCTCCCTCAGGCCATTCTGCCAGTACCGGAAGATTGCGTTACCTCGTTCTGCCTGCTTGCGCAAGGAAAAAAAAGATGGACAGGTGGCTGTCGTCTTCTTCTTAGGGAGTTGGAAGATGGCGTAGCGGATCACGTCCACGTAGCCCTCGACGTCGCCATCAACGCTTTCGACCAGCTGGGCTGGAGTCAAATGAGCAGTGCCAAACGCCGCCTCATCCTTGTAGAAGAACATGGTCGCCAAAAGCTTCGCGCATTCGTCGACATGCACGGCCCACGTGCCATCCTCCTCCTCGAAGAACAGCGGCTTGTCAAACAATCCCTCCGTCCTGAGGCTCTTGAGGGCCAGTACCCACATCTTGTCGAACGGCAGCCCGGAAATTGCCGGGAGGTAGTCACAGCCCGACTCCAGGAACGTTAGGACGAACAGACGTACCTTGTCGTTGTCCGTGGGAATCCAGCTCCTGAACGTCAATGGCGGCCACGCGGACTCGCTTCCGTCCTGGAGTTCGCAGATGCTGGCGAACACTCTGTTAATCCACAGGAATTTGGTCTCGCCACCCACGACCTTCTGGACGGTCACGTCAACCGCCCCCTCGCCACGAGGCCGGAGCCAACCAGTTGTCATCGCCAGTAGTATGATCATCCATAGGTCCGTGTCTACCGACGAAACGACCCACTTGTGGAAGCTTTTCCCCCAGTACCTCTTCGCCCAAACGATGAAGTGTATCACGGAGAGCTCCGCCTCGCCGATGTCTGGCCCTCGCTGCCGCTCGACGCCGAGTGTCGGGTCGTTTCCGTTTCGAAAGTGAAGGAGTGATTCGGTTCCGGAAAGCGCCTCCGTGGCACCTACCCCTCCCATTTCAAGGCCTACGCCCTCCGCATCTACACCAGTTGGATGACCAGCACTCAGACCAGGCTCACCTCCGACGCCATAGAATGCGATGATTCCGTTCGGCTTAGGGTCGCCGGTCCAGACTTCATCAGCTAGCACGCGCATGGCGAGGTAGGCGGCGATTCCGTCCCGCGCCGCCTTGTCATGGGCTCGAAGCCATGGTCCATACTGTAACGAAAGAACAGGGTCCGTTGACTTCGGGTCGAAGGTCCGAGAGCACTCACCAAGTTTCTCGGTCCTCCCAAGCTGCTCTTGCCCTTTGATTACCGGCACCAGTTCCTGTCGGTCGTAGCACACCACGAGTAGCTCGGTTGACTGCAGCCACTTCGACAACAGCTGCCTCTTGAAGTAGTCGATTATTCCCGCAGTTCCCTTCTCGAGATATTCCGGGTGCACCCCTTGGTGGATTGACACGGGAAGATCCACGCCGTGAGCGTCGGCGTCGTAAAACGGGTCGTCTGCGAACCCGTCGGCACAGTGCTCTCTGACCCATTTCCCTGGACCTGCCGCCTTGTTGGCGTGCTTAGCTCCTGATACGTATGGGGAGACATTTCCACCAGGGGTGTTTGGGGATGGGGGGGGTGAACACAACGTGATGCGGTATGCATAATGATAATAGCACTCAGATACACGGGTGTGGAGAGTGGGTGAGCTTCGGCTGGGAGCGAGAGCACGATATGACAACCTGTATTGCGCACGCTCTCTTCCTCACCTCCCGTCGCGTTGGCCATGCTGTACGGTGTGGCCGCTCCTATAGACGCCACCATTTCCAGCATCTGGTCTTGCGTCACCACACCCCCACCTTCTCTGGCCGCATCGAACATGTTCAGCGTGAGGGCCTTCCACTCTTGTCCCCCAGCGTAGGCATTGCCGACGGAATCATTCAGTGCAGACGACCTCCCTTGACTCTTCGTGGCCTTGTTGATGCTGTTCCTAGCCGGGATGGAGAAAACCTTCTTCTTCGTCGCGCCCTTGAGCTTCGCGCCGTTGAGTTTTTTCTTCTTGAAGACGTAGTACAGGATACACTCCCGCAGTTTCGCACGAGCCTTAGCAGACGAGTCGAGAATCTCTTGCCACTTGACCGGCGGAAACACTCTCCCGTCCAACGCCACGACCTTGTCTTTGCCATCTCCGCCTTCAAATGCCGGGCTCTCTCTCAGGCAGTCCATCGCCGCCCTGACTGCTGGTGCACGTTTCACCGCCAACTCTCTGCAACGGTCCCTCTCCGTGCGTGGTTTCTCGATGAAATGCGATTCGAAGTCGAAGATGGCGACTTCACGAAGCTGGGCAATCGGTGCCAGCTTTTCTATCGTGCTTGAAAGGATCCTTTTCGTCAATGTCTTGTAGAGACGATTGGACACCTCCTGCCGCTCGTCCAAGCCGATCCGTGCAAACGTGTCAGGGCCGAGTGAGACGGAGAATAGCTCGGATACGACCCTCATATCATTGCGCAAATAACGCGACACCTCCGTCAGATGATCTACCACGAGGAACTGGTACTTGTCTTTGCCGGTGATGAAAAAAATGGGGGCGATACGGCGAAGGCCTTCAAGCCTTAGCCCGAAGTTCCCCGTACGCAGGGCAGTTCGGAACGCGATGTACGCAGGGTAGTCGTGCAGGAGGAACTGCTTCCACACAGCGAAAGTCTTGCGAGACTCCGCCCGTGCCACGATCCACCGAACCACCCCGTCTACCACCTTGTCCTCTTCCACCGGTCTGTCACTTGGAGTCGGCAAACTCTTCAAGTATTCCTCTCGACACAGAGCCATAAACGCCGCCCAAAACGCCGTTATGTGGTGGTGGGCCCGACGGTAGTTGCTCCCCTCCCCCGACTTCGACCCGTCTGTGCCCAAATCCTTCGCGACGAACTCCACGCCAGCACCCCAGTATCGCCTAAGCATCGCCTTGGCCATGTGCAACAGCAAATGCCAATCGCCGGGGTAGCGACGGACTTGTCGGTACTCGCGCGGGTCCTGTGCCATGACGTGGTACATGTGCTTGTATGTCTCCTCGTCCCCACCGAGTATGAATGGTGCACCAGCCTTACCGGCTGGGGACCCACACCAGATACCTTGTACGCGCTGTATGGCTCCCTTCATATCGCTGAAACGCTTGGTGGAACCCTTCTGGATGAACGCGTATCGCAGTTGCTGCGGCGATTTGCCCTCGGGTGTGATGGCCTACGTGTTCGAGGAATAGTGTGCAGGGCGCGAATCAGAATCGACGCACGCCATATATAATTGGGTAGTATACGTTCAGTCATATGGGATAGGTAGTGGAAAACCCCGAAAGCAAGGAGGGATAAAGCATAAAAATGGTGTCTTACCTTGCGGAGTTCAGACTCGAAGCATGTGTCTGCCGCAGCCCTGTCGGTTGTTCCGCGCCTCAGCGAATACGCCGCGGTAGAGTTCGGCCGAAAACTCGTTATATTGCCGTGCTCCGTCTTCCCGGTCCCGCTCCGGCCCCATAAGGACGTCCTCCACCGTAAGATCTCTCCGTCTCTTTACCAACCATCAGTCGTCCATTCGACCTACATCGGGCCCTACCGTCAAGGCCGTCGCAGCGATGAAGGGAAGATGAGGCCCCTCCCCCTGGCCAACTCCGACCCTCGGGTCAAAATCACAGTTGTCCAGGGGAATGGCGGCGCACTCGGCGTCCCGGCTCAGAAGGTCTTTGTCCTCTACGAACCTCGCATGGTAATCTTCTCGGTGCTGAATTTGCGACGTCGTCGCCCACAAACCGTGCTCCGCGACAAAGTTGATCACATCGCGACACGTACCCTTAGACTTTGCCCACTGAGCCCCTTTGATGTCGTGCGAACCCATGTGCCGACCACGCAAAATGGCCTTTACCACCACCGTACACATCACCAGAAGCCTACGATGCGTGGATCGCCTGTCGCGGTTAAGGCTGTCGATATGCCTGGCCTGTTCTTCGGTTCGTGGCCCTAACGACACCATCACTGCTCCTTGACTGGTTGACTGACCTCGTTCTTCTTTTCTCCATCACTGTCCTCGCACTCCAAGTCGCCCGAGGTGGTAGGGCACCGTCCGTCTCGCCCTTCGGTCTGCCATATCCAGGGCTCTCCAGGATGTTCGCTCTCTGATGCGATGATCTCGCGATACAGTGCCATGTCCGTCATGCTTTGGTACAACCCAACCAAGGACGGAGGAAACGCGGATAGTAGAGTCTCTCTGGGTGGCTTCACTTTCATGTCCAACTCATCGACGTAGCGATGCTTCTCGCGTGTCCCGGGGGTGTTCTTCAGGGCAGGGTCACTCTCCACGTCGGCTCGAACAATTCTACCAGCTGCCCGCACGACGGACATCCTTGCGTCTGCGTCCTCCGTGTCCTCTCGACTTCCTTCAGAATCGACTCGAGAGACCTACCCTTACCCGCTAGCTGGTTGGATGGTGGCTGTGCGGGTGCTTTACGTCGAGCACGCAGAATTAACTCAACGAGATGCTTGTCCCCAAGGGTGTTTGGGAAGAGGAAGAGTTCCCGCTCGCGTGCATCTCCTTGAGCTCCGTCGGCTCGGACCAATCGTGATTTGCTGTCGGGGTCTGCGTCCCTCCCGGTAAACAAGTCCAGGACGATGCTTCGTGCGTACTTCCCCGTTATCTCCTCCATGCCAACCTTCGCTCGTTCAGCAGCTAGCCAACCGGCGACGTCCTGCCAGCAAAGGATCTCACCTCGACCGAGGACGTCATCCACCATCCTGCGCACCGTGCTCAAAGGCTCTAGAAGCGTCGGCGCCTCGTCCCCCGAGCCACATGGCTTGTTCGCTGCTTGCTCTGGCGGTTTGTCGTCTCTCTTCATGCCGTTCAAGCGGCTCTGGTAGCAACGGCCGCACCACCAGTCACCATCACTCACCATCGCATTACTCTCCGCGACATGATCTCCTGCAGCATCCATGGGATACCACCTTACGCGGCTCTTGTCCGATTTCCGGTACTTGCATTTACTGCATTGGCGAAGCTCTGCCTTCCTTTCTTTCTCGGCGAAATAAGCTAGGAAGCAGTCTGGGCGTTGGCAGAGGCAGTCCTTGCTGGGACTAAAGTCTCGCACGAAAGCTAGAGGCAGGGTTTTCTCTCCTTGTCTCAACGCGGCTACGAAGGTTACAGCTCGCCCTAACCGGTCCGCGCGGAGGTGCGTGAAACCTTCGTCGTCCGGCAACCTGTGGCATGCCGAACATAGTCTCTCGTCGGCCGAGTGCACTACACTCCCGGGGCATGTGCTACACTCGGTGCGAGGGTAGTGTGTAACCCAACCGCATTCCTCACGGCCGCACGCCTTTTTTCGCTTCTTGCCTGTTGGTTGTCCTACAGGTAGCACCGCCGGGGCAGAAAGTCTCCTACCCGCATTCCGCTTGCCTGGCAGATGACCGGCTTGTCTTGGGTTACCGCCGTGGCTCCTACGCCGAGTATCAACGGGGTTATTCCCCCCGGCCTCTGATTGTCGCCGTTCATCTTCGGCAATCGCGCGATCTCTACGAGCCGTGGCCTCCCTCCTGGCCTCGCTCTGCTGCTTGTAGTAATCCTCCTCCTCGAGCTTGCTCTCGAGGTTGGGTAGGCACCCACCCGTGACACTAGCAGAGGGCCTCCTCTTCCTCCTCCGTTTCCTGCCCGACCGGGTCTTTCCTCCCGTCCGACGGACACGTGCACCGGAATCTCCCGCGCCGCGCTTTGTCGCGGCGATGGGGGTGCGCGCCTCGTTGGTTAGGTAACCCTCTCCCCTGCTCCCGCTCCGTCTCCGTTCACTCGTGGCGTCTCCTTCTGTGTCGTCGACCATTGGCTGACGCGGTGTTAGCGCGCCTTCCGTGAGCTGGCGAAGGGTTTGTATCGGCTGTATACCCCCGCTTCCGGGTGTAGAAGGGCTCCCATACTGGTTCCGAGGCAACGCCGGTGGCGTACCCGGTAGAGCTGTGGGGCTCTTCACCCCACAAGCCGGTTGGCCCACCCTACGTGGACGGGAATTCATCTGCCAGCAGCTCGACCTATGCCGGCCGTTTTTCCATGCATTCTAAACCTGACCAGAGTTACGAAAACAACATGTTACTTTTGCACGCACAGCCATAAGCCAGGCGCACGCCTATTCGTGGGGTGGGATTTTCGGTGCCTCTGGACAGCCATGCATAAGGTCTGATCCTCTTTACCGGCGCGCCTATGCACCTGAGAACGCAACGGACAGAAACCTGTTCAAATACATACGTAGTTATACTCTAGAGTGTCTGCAGCTAAGCGCCCCGAGTCATGTTCGGCTCGTATATTGGCAAAGCACCGAGCGTAATAATTGAACTCGAAGAAATCGTACTTGCCCTCTTGAAGCCCAATTTGTCTTCAACTTGTAGTGATAGGCTGACCCTGACCTGGCACTATTGTATCGAGCATTTCCATCGTATCTTGTGGTGGGAATTGTGTATCCAAAGATGTACCTACATGCGCAACTAGCAAGAGCGCTGCGGACCCACGGCATGGACTCTTCTGAAATTTGAACTTTGAACACACCATGCTTATCCCCTGCCACACTAAATCGCCTCAAACCTTTTGCATTAGGTGGCAATACAACCTAGGTATAAGGCGGTAGCATAGTTAGGCTGCAATACAACCACCTCGCGCAGAGGTCGGGTCGCATGTGAAGCTCGCTCCCTGATTTTGGAGCTGCTGCATGGTGGTACACTCCATCTAAAGTCCAACTTTTTCACCCTACCGTTCACAACTGTACGTATAAAACATACCCTGGTGTACCCTGGCATCTTATCTACATACCTCTCTTGAAATCTGGACAGTTTATGCTCTCGTTCGCCCTCTAGAGCCGATGCTAGGTGTGGAGGTCTGGTGCCGAGCGAGCCGCCTGATCAGAGGGGTTTCCACAAGGGGCTGCTTTCCCGTTGGAAGCATTATTCGGCGTACTTCCTTTTTTTTTTTTTCAGCCGTGCAGCACTGCATGGTGCCAAAATTACCAAGGATCCCTCTGGAGTGGGCGCGGGGAGCGCGCAGCACTGCATTCATCACGTGTGTGAAAGGGGCTGCAAGATACTTGGTACCACAATTAAATTACATGTAAAGCAGGGCAGCCTACAGCTGACTGCCATCTGCGAGCTGTGATGCGAGCTGTGATGTTTCCCAAGCTCAACAGCTCACACAGCTAGCCATGCATAAGCGTATTTGACTCGAAGAGCCCTTGGGGTATGATACTACATCGAACGGGTGTTTTGTTCGTGATTGATTGTACGTGATACATATGTACAAGTATGATACATTTTTTCTACAAAACCCAAGTACCCCGGACTCTTATCTTTGGATAGATGACTTTCCTCACCCCAAAAGATAATTTCTTGAATTTTTAGAAACATGCATCTGCACACATTCTACATGTGCACACATAGTAGCACAGCACGTGCACCAAGCGTGGTTAACGAATTAAGTCACGGGCAAACATACTATAGGTATCTCTTACCAGATGTTTTTTTTCTGATTCAAAGGCTGCTGCAGCTATTCGTTGTGTTTTGTACAAGAAACAATATTTGTACATACATGCATGGTCTTCGAGAGAAAGTGCTGCCGCTGAACCCTGCCCCAAGGCAAAACGCCCTAGGGGGAAGGTGGGAAAAAAGCTCCTTCCTCCTGTGTGACCCTGGCTGAGACAGACGTCAAATACACACCGAAAGGGGTACTGCTGTAGTCTAGGCTAGCGGCATAATCGACACAAGGACGAAACACACGCATACACAAGCATCGACATCTTGCTTTGGCTGGCTTGAATAGCCCTTTTGGTGGTCCTCCGCTCTTTGCATTCGGGGCTTCCTATTTTTGACTCGGGAGAGAGAGCATTTGCCGAGGGTGTGTCTCTCAGAAATGATTTGTAGAGATATTCGTTTTGGCGTTGGCATTCAGCGCGTTGCGCATTTTCGAATTTTGACTCCCTTTCATAGACATTGATTTTGCCCTCTCCCAATCATTGATCGATGCTATGTAAGTAGTTAAACACGCAGAGACACTTCTGCTTAGATGTTTATTTGCTCAGATTTTTGTGCATGTAGCCGAAAGCAGGTAGGGTTGTCTGAGCTACCGTAAGGTTGCGGCATGGGAGTGCTATGAAAATGCAAGAACAACGTGATGAAATTCGATATCTGCACAGGGATCGGTTGCAATGACCGGCAACCTGAGGGCAGTGCGCGGCAACCGTTCGCGCTGCTTCATCCTTTTCAGCCCCAGGAAATGTTGCCGTTACACGCACATGACTATGGCGTGACACACGTACGTACACACACGTCTACCAACGTTTCTCATGTCCTCGCTCTTGGCTGCCAGATTGTACAGCAGTGCGGTGTGCGTGTGTGCATTGTGTGTGATGCGCCTCTACATATATTTCTACCACTGGTACGTTGTATTTAGAACGAGTTGCACCCAGAGCGGAGGGCAGAGAAGCGCAGCCATCCAGGATCTGCGAAGAAGTTGACAATCATTTTGTCCTCGACGCAAAACGGATGACGCAAGAGGACAGGAACGATTTTTTCGAGTTTTTCACGCGGTCATCTCTAGGCAGGCGCCACGTATCATGTCTTAATCCCGTGGCCAAAGCAATCTGTCTGACTTACTCCGTATCTTGTGTTGATGCAACTATGTGGGAAAGAAAAACGATCTGAGCCAAAGCTGAGCCAACAAACTGGGTAACAAGTCTGGGCCATCCAGACTTCGCGCCGGCCCGAAACTCACTGATGTATCTCGTGTGTAGCATCTGTGCACGTCAAACAAAGCATGTCTATAGAGCATCATCCGCAGACCAGGGCACTTTTCGGACAGAAAACCTCGCGCCTTCCTCTTCCACAGATCAATTTCATCCTGAGAGAGGTGGCGGCTGTTGCGGACCTCATATGTCCTGCTCGTTGTTCGTTGTTGGCATGTTTGCAGACGATGCTTTCCATGCTGACGGACCCCGCGCTTAGCGACGTGTGCCTCGTGGTGGAGGGTATCGATGTTCCCTGTCACAAGGCTGTGCTAGGTGAGTCTGTCTGTCTCCATGAAGTATATCGCCCCGCGATTCTCCTCTCTCCTCTCTCTGTTCTCTCTCTTCCTCTTTTTTGCAACTGCTATAGTTGTCTACGTGTATTTCATGGCCTGCATTTATTGCTGTAATCCAAACGAAACACAATGACTCTATCGGACGTCGTAATGTGTATCACGGGATTGGCAGTGTTTTGAGATTAGCTGTAGAGACGCACGTCATGCACATGTGAGCGTATTCCCGACAACGCTTCCCCTTGTAACCACAACTTCCGAAATTCGGCGGGAAGCCCATACCGTGCACTATGCAAATGCTGTAAAAATCAGCAACGACCTCTTTGTACTTCGTAGACTTTACTCCGTTTGGATCTGGTACAATAGTGATTGAAATTGTGTATTGCACTACACCTGGAGACGATACTGGAAGTTCCCATCAACCCTTTTCTGCACAATGAGCATGAAATTTATGATGCCGCTGTCAGTGCGGCCATCACCCCAAAGCCCTGCGTGTACCATACAATACAATACACGCAGTCGAAACCATGTCCGTTGTTTTGACGAGTGGGCACGATTCCTTTAACCACCAGCCGCCTGGAGCCGACCGTTCCGGGCGATGTTTACCCTGCCGATGCTGGAGTCGCGGCACCAGTGCAGAGTGGTCATCGAGGACGCCGAGCACAAACACCTCATGGTGGTCCTTCATTACCTCTACAGCGGGTGAGTTGTGATTCTCTTCCGCTTTGATTCTGTTGAGTGTTTCAGAGGCTTTGGATTTGGAGCCTTGGTCGTCGAGATAGTTGCGTTGCGCCCCCCTCCCCCTCTGGCGTGCTCAGTTGGTTGTTTCGCAAGGTATGCTAAGGTATGTTGTCTCATCGAGGTGCAAGCGAGACTCGAGCTGTGCCCCAATCCTATCAACCGTTGATCTCCCCCCCCCCGTTCATCGTCACGGAGCAGTCGCATTGGCCTCAATGACCAGAACGTGATGCCGGTCTCCGCCCTGGCGAACCGGTACGAAGTGCTGCCGCTCATGGCTCAGTGCGAGGGCTACATGAAGGTGAGACTGCACTATAGATCTGTTAATACACCTGACCAATGAAAGGTGGCCAACACTCCTGCCTGAGGTATGCATACTACCTGGAACACGACCAGCAGTCCAATTAACTATACCAGCAGTGCTTCCTATCTGCTGCTGTCTATTGGTTGTCGGCGGGAGTTTGTGCTTGCTGACGGCTGCTCGCGCAGACGGTGACAAACATTGCGCTTGCGCTCTGCCCTACCCAAACCCCGTTGCAGTGCTAGCCAAACCCTGCTGCCGTAGGGTGTTAACGGTCGTCCCCTAGCCCTACGCACGTGTGGTTTACGCCACGATTCCAGTGAGCACCGATAGTGCACCACCATTAGAGGGAAAGGTCACCAATCACTCTCGGTGTACACACATGTTGGCACAGCACCTGACGAGTCCCCTCGCCGTTCGATTGCGGGTTTGCTTGAACGTCCATCCATCCCTCTTTCGTGTTCCCTCTCCCTCTCCCTCTCCCTCTCCCTCTCCCTCTCCCTCTCCCTCTCCCTCTCCCTCTCCCTCTGTGTGTGTGTGGTAGTGGCGCCTTCACCCGAGCAACGTAGTGGCCCATCTGCTTTCCGCGGAGGAGCACCGTGTGCCAAAGGCTGCAGCCTTTGCCTTGGAGTACCTTGCAGTTCATTTCGACGAGGTGGGTTCTGCCAAACATAGTGTTCCTGTGCTTGGGTTGGTTACAGACACTTCGACCTCACTTCCCTCGTTCGTGTGTTTGTGGCTGCTAGCTTCACGATTGGGCAATGACGTAGGAATTGCGCAGTTAGCCCTATGAAGCGTAGACAGCGGCACGGGTCGGACAAGGGGTGCTAGTGACCATGGAGTAGGCTTGAAATCCGCACGATGTCAAGGTGGCATGGGTTCCTCCGTTGGGTCGGATGTAATTGGCAGGCTAGGCACGTGGTTTGACATTGACATCTCGAGAGTCCAACCTCTGAACGTCTTTCGAGCATCGGGTTGGTTAACCCATGTCTAAGGTAGTACAGCACCAGTAGACGCTGTGTCCACCGAGGTCGTATTTTTTCTCCTGCACCTGTTGCCCCAGCTGTGTTTCGTGTTTAATCGAACCGACTGGTTTCTTTGCTGTATGTATTGCGTCTCGTTACTCTTGTTGTTATTATTCGTGGCGGATAGGTCCACCACGACAGTAGCGGCGACTTCAACTCTTTGGGGGGCGATACAGTACTGCGCGTGCTGCAGCATGACGGCCTCACCGTCGACGAGGAGACGGTGAGCTCTTGAGACAAATACCGCCACCGTCCCTTCACGGTTTCGGAACACGAAATCCCTTGCACGAATGCTAACCTTGCAACCCATGCTTCCGTCATCGGGAGGTATACTCTGCAGTTGCAGAGTATTTTGCATCATCTAATCGATCCGTAAGGGTGACGTAGGGTGACGTTGCTCGGGAGCCGTGCCACACTTGAACAGTGCACTCAATGTCTCGTATCTCGTCTGCAGCCTGTAAGCACCAAAGCGCATTTTTAGCATCCCACAACCCCTGTGTTGTACGTTGTACCGCTCCGATGGTCCCGACAAGTCAAGGAAGAGGCAAGATGATTCGTTCCCTCCCGGGTTCCTCGTATACGGGCTCTTTTGTGTTTCCGCTTGCACGATACGCCTTTCCTCCGACGTTCTGACGTTCTGCTACGGGGGCGCTTTGATACAGGTGTTTCTAGCAGTGGACGGGTGGGCTAAGGCGTGGGAGCATCGCCGATCTATCCGCGGCGCCACGCGCAACTACGCCGTCGGCAGGTCTCCACCGCCGGCCGTGGCAGAACAAGGCACGCAGTCGCTCGGCGTAGGAAGCACATCAAATCGTGGCTCATCGAGCTCGCACAGCGTCAAGAAAACCCTGAGCGCCACGGATTTCCCTCCATCAACATCAACGGCGGTGCCGGCAAGAGTGCAGGACACAGATGAGCAGGGGGGTGGCGGTGCCGGTAGCGTGGTGAAGGATGCCTCGTCCTCCGCGTCTTCGGAGAAGAACCCGAGAAGTCTGAATGGCCGAGAGCGGCCAGATTTGGGTGCTGGGTTTACGCTCAGGAGCACTACCGAAGGCACGTCGGCGCAGAGCCGCGTTGGACGAACGAGAGAGACCGACAGCCGTGGTAGCGGCAGCAGCATAGGCAGCAGCATAAGCAGCAGCAGCACCAGCAGCCGCAGTGGCAGCAGTAGCAGCGCTTCAAGCGCCCCTCCGCCTTCATTGCCACCCTCGTTGGCAATGGCAGCGACAGCCGCAGCACTGGTTTCGGCTCCCACTGCCGCGGGGGCTGCGGCGGCAGCGAGAAGATTAATGAGTGAAGAGCAAACAGTCACCCGACGACCATCTTCTTCTACTGCTCCGACTTCCAACGTCGCTATTATCACTGCCTCGAATACCGCCATGCGCGACACGCGTTCAGATGCATCCCCGGGTGCGCGTGGGTGGGGGGGGAGAGAAAGTAACGGGGGTGCAGGCGAGGAGCGATCGACGATGGATGTTGGCGACGAACCCCCGAAAGGACTCGCGGAAGGGGAAGCCGGCCGAGTGCTACAAAGACGAGCAAGCGGTCCGGCTGGGGGAGAAGGAAAACAAGGCGGGTACGCGGGAGAAGTGCTGCAGCGGGCGGCGTCCTTTTCGCACCCCCCTCCCCCGCCGGAGCCCCCTGTTGCTGGCGTGCGAAAGACGGCTGCAGTCGGCGCCCCTGAGAGCTCTTCCCCGATCGAAGGCATGACCGACGAAAGGAAGGGGACGTTGGAGACGATGGCCCCCATCCCGGAAGAGGAGCAGGCCTTCGTGGACGAGCTCTTGATGGAGGTTCGCTTCCCGCTTGTATCGACGAGCTTCCTTTGCCAAGGTGCATTACAGTGCTCGGCCGTCGGGTTGTTGTCTGTCTTTTGTCTTCCTGTCACCTCTCGCACCCGTCGGGGTCAACTGTCCACCACCCAGCGTTTCTACGCAAACTGCTGTTTAGCTGCCATTCTGGCAGAGCTTACTGAGAGGGGGGGGTCAAGGGCGACAGACAGCAAGCAGTGAAGGAGAGGACGCTCGACCACACGCTTACGCGACCCTGCCGCATTTTGTGCTTCCCGAGTGTGCTCCGGCTTGGTACAGTACGTCTTATAATAGCGTCTTGAAGACGCACTGAATGATTGCACCCTCGCCACCCCCGTCTGGTGGTACCGCTGCATGCAGTGGTCGAGAAATCTCCAGTGATAACGGGCAGCCGAGTAGCGCAGAGGTTGTTGCACGAGGCTTACCGGTTCCAAGCGATCAGGCCGGACGGTGTGGATGTGGACGAGCTTTTCCCGGGCAACCATCGGGTCAAGGTCAGTGTTGTCGTACAGTATGTATGATGTGGTAAGGCAGCTGCTGCTGCTGCTGCTGCTGCTTCGTTTTTTGTTTTTGTTTTCTTTTGTTCGCGTCGTCACCTGTGCTACATCTAAGCAACAAAACTGCCGCACCTTGAACAAGCGGTTCTGTTATTTTGTTGGTGCATGCAAGGGCCAGCAGGACCTTGCTGATTTTCTACGGCCTGTGCTTGCTGGTCAGATCCATCACGCAATGGCCCTGAGCTACAATATGCGTTTTCCTTTTGCCTCTGTGACAGCAGTACCGTCGTCCCCATCCCTTGCTCTGTGCGCTAACTCAACTCTTCTCTCGACAGTATCGTGGGCATGAGCGAGTGCTGTTCGGCGAGGACGAGGGATGCGTGGGGCACGTCGAAGATTACAGTTCTTCCCTCTCAGAGGTGAACGTGGTATTTCACACGATGGCAAGCATTGCTCGCCCGCGCGACACCGCTCAACGCCATGGTGCATAATGGAGTGGCGGTGGGCTTGAATCAGCTCGGGTGTTTAGTGAGGCACTGCTAGATATAGATGGTGACCAGATGATGTCTTCCTGAGTTTGATTTGGGGTGATGTTGCAGAGACTGCGAAGACCTGCAGGTACAGACACCGAGGGTAGGCGTCATGGCGCGACATTGTTTTGTTTGGTCGCAAGAGACCGACCGGTCGCATGCTCGACGACGTTATTGGAACGTTTTCACTCACCGATGTCATGCTGTTTCGTCATTGCGATGATGCAGGTGCACCTGGTGGAGAATGTGAAGCAGAGGGATGAGAAGTACTGGCTTCCTGGACAGCCCGAAGAGGCCTACTTCTGCGTGCGGGTATGAAACTCCACGGGTTCGTGTCGGAAGCAGTTCCTCGCGCAGACCTGCTGCTGAAGCCGGAGTGTTTGACCTTACATCTCGCAAGCCCCTTGTTGCACTGCTTTTTGGTATTCGGTGCCAAGCACAGAAATTAGAGGAAATATTTTCTTGTAAAAACCGCACAATACGCAGCGAGAAGAAAGTCGTGGCACTTTTCGCTTGTTGCTAAACGTGGGTGTTGCTGCAAGCACCGCTGCCAGGGAGGAAGACGCGTGCTGCTGGTGGAGGGTGGTGTAACGTTTCGTCCAAGGGTTAAGGTTAGCAACGTTGCACGCCATGACCGCTGTTCAATGTTGAGGTAGATAACTCACTTTTACCTGCCTGTCCTCTTGGTTCCTGCGCGACCCTCCCGTTTCCCGCCTTGAATAAAGCTGGACCGAGTGCGACGGATCACCAAGTTCCGCCTTCAAAACCGCTACAGCGAAGAGTTCGAGGTCGCCGTTCGTCGCACTAGGAGAGAAGAGTGGCAGGTGCATCACGGCTAGTCACGGGTAGTCACCTACGATTGAAATGCGTACAGACTCTGGGGTTATTGGTTTGTCTTTGGTGTTTCGAAGTCGTGTACAAGTATAAATATAAGTAGATGGTTAGTCCGTGTTCTAGGGCGTGTACGTGACTTGAGTCGAAGAATGTGCATATGGCACCTTACAGTGTATGGCAAGGAACCATGTAGACACCCTACCGAGCTTCGTTCCATGACATGAAAAGACTGCGTACAGCTGTAGTGTCGACACGCGACGAATTTGTTGTTCTCACGTGACGACGAATTTGTTGTTCTCACGTGGCGATGGCGAATGCGAAAGACTTAACACGGGTGTTATTTTCGTATTTGCGTCCATTTGTCGTCTTCGTTTTGTGTTGCGTTTGACTTTGACGTTGTTGGGGGCCGACTTTGTTAATAAGCCTGCTGCCCTCTGCTGTTTGCATCAGTGGCTTCCTAGGTTCGGGCGAGGGCTGTGTGGAGCTATGATGTGTGTATCTGTGAACGAGTGTGCAGAGAGAGTCATATTGGCATTCGCATTTAGCGCATGGCATATTTTTCGTGTTTTGGCCCCCTTCCACCAGGGACCTTGGTTTTACCCGCTGACACTGACGTCTTTTCATTGGTCAGCTGGTTAGCGCGGTCGATGCTAGTAAGAGAAAGACAAACACACGCACACACGGACAGACGCGGCCTGCTTGCGCCTCTTGCTTCCCGGGAGAACGTGTACTCATATTCATCCCTTTTGCTCGGAAAACCGTGCCTTTGCTCCTCTTCCGATGGCTTCCATTCCCCCCCGCATCCAACAATCGAAGCATGTGATAAACTGCTGCTGCTGTGTTTTGTAACGATTGGCTTACTGTTTTCCCGCACCCCCACACGCTCGCAGGTTATCGTTCCGCGCCAGACCAGCGGCGGTCACAAAGACGTAAAGTCGCTTGACCTGACACGGAAGCGAGTTAAGGCCAGGCACGTCAAGATTTCCCTCAGAGGTCGCAAGAGATCTTGCTACAACACGTCATGCTACTGGGTAGAGCTGCTCGGATTTTGAGCAGTACATGTGGATGAGCGTTTTTCAACCTACATAGTGTGTCGGGGTCGGGCGGGGGAGGGGGGGGGGGATCAAGAAACGTCATGTGCCAGTTGTGGGGGTGTTGTGTTGTACGGTTTTTTTTTTGGTGAATGCAGTACGTTAGCGATGTGGTATGCATAGCTCGCGACATTTTGTGAGGTTTGTCGCCGTGAGGAAGCGGAAGAATAAGATACCACAGTACGTACTCTCGATTCGCTGGGGCGTGCCATGCTGACAGACAGGACTTTACCTCGTCGTCAGAAAGACTCGCCCGCCTGTCTTTGGCTATAAAATAGATAAGTAAATAGGGGTGGCGGATGGTGAAGTCGTCCCGGATTGATGAGCGCTTGGAGTGCTACTAAATAGTATATATCATACCATATCATCGTATCATGTCATTTCTATCTGTAGGTCGGGCGGGCGGGCGAGTTACGAGCGGCGTGACCGAGAGAGAGCAGCAGTGCGTCGTACCGTAGAGGCTCCGCGCGATGCGATGTGTCGAACGAAGGGAGGCTTGCAGGCTTGCGATGGGATGGGGAAAGAGAGGAAGACATCCTCCGGCTCTCCCACATTCTCGTGTGTGGTGGTGACATGCGAAGTACCCTGTGTGTTTCTCAAAGTTTTGTGCAGGGGAAGGGAGGAAGACAGGTAGGTTACGGTAATATAGTGGGCCATAGCAACGATCGTTTAGCCAGCGCGATCCGATAGAAGGATAAGGAAGGGGGCCTGTCTTTCTGGCGTTCATCCATCCATATGGTCAGTGTGCCCCGCGCACACCGCTGGCAGGGTAGATTGTTCACGGTTCATGTCAAGAGCAAGGGATGCAGTGTCAGTGGCGTGCGGCCAACAGCACTACTTTCGGCGAGCCCTGCTCAGGACATACAAGGGTTGTTCGTTTTGTTTGCATCGCGATAGGTTTGTTTTTCTGGTGTGTCCACCTGGGGCCTTATATATATATCATCCCGTTTGTGTGGAGAGGATAGGCAATATACATAGAGCTGAGTTTGTGGTTGTTCTTGTTTATTTTGTGGGGCCGTCTAGCAGCAGCGCAGATTTTACTTGCAATTATGTTCCCATGATACCACTTAGGTTGCGCGTTTTCCTTTTTGAAGGCACATACCGCGCGCACGGCACGAAGGAGACATGATGCACACTGTTAGAGCCAGGTAGTGGTTCTCACGTATGAGGCACGGTTCGTTTTTGTCCTCTGCCGCATGTAGAGTGTTCCTCGCCTTGCTGAGGGCGATGTCACCGCCTACAGAACGCGTGTTGTGGAGCAGGTATGCGGCGCGCAAAACATGCGCGGTGTACGCCTGCACACATTTAAGTATTAATTCCGTATTTGGTGTCAGTGCTTCAGCCCCGTGCGCATTTCGGAACAAGATGTAATAAAGTTGGTGTGAACGTGTTGCGATTTGCTACTTGGTAACCGTTTCTTGGTGGTGAGTGAAGAATATTCGGCCGAATTGTGGTGATTTTTATTTCGCACGGATGTGCAATGAGAGATGGATGGATGTGTCTACGGTTGGTTGCGGGACGAGTTGAAGGTGTGAGTGAGCATGTTCATGCAAACCACGGTGGATGTTATCTTTGTATGTTTTCATGAGGGTGGGGTAAGAACACCACACGACACAACAAACATGTGTACATGCATAATATGTATCCTGATAACCGAGAAAAAGCCGAACAAGTGCAGGTTCCTAGGCATCGCGGGAGACGGAAGATGACGGGTGCGCCCCACAACGGTACCCCATGCATGGGGTCGGCTACATCCCGTAAAGGGCGGGAAGATCGCACCCCCCCTAGACGGACTTCCAAAGATCGATTGCTCCGAAACCAAGGGGGAGCGTTAAGAGCCCGATACGTCTACGGAAAGCCGCCGACGAGATGCTTCCAATACCGGCACTTTTGGTGTTGATGTTGGCACAAGCTTGGTTGTGGAGCAATCGAGTTTTGAAAATCAGTATACTAGGCGGGATGCATGCCATCTCTCCTCTCCGCCTCTTACGGTAGCTAAGAGCAATAGCTAAGAGCCAAGCAGCGGTGTTGGTCGTGCTGTCACTAACATCACGGCTGTGCGTCGACGATCGCCTGCTGCGGTGTGCTCCACCACTTGCCGTCACCAACAACCCCTGGCGCTCAATACATGTGCTGGCTTCAGTACTCATACCCTGAAACGAGATAGGAAGGACAAAGTCTTTCTACCTCGCCTGCGGCGCAAACGGATAAATGATAACCTGGAAATCAATCAACCCCCTAACCCAGCACACAACCTTCGTAAAGATCCATCTCGAGTAACGCCCCTTTACCAGCTCGAATCCCTGACCTCACTCCGCCCACTGTCGTAACCAGCTTGTCGCCTTATCGCGAGGTCGCTTGACCAAATTATGTGCTCCATCCTCTAACACACACACACCACTGCCTTCACGTCACCGCACCATCATCATGCTCTACGCACACATCCGCGGGACGTCAGACCTGTACATACTTACACCTATGCACGCGAGGTAAAAACTCGCAAGACTCAAAGAACGCATACATATAATCCCGCCTTTTTGAGTAGACTCCCCACTTCTGCGCCACATAATTGGTCTGAGGGAGACGGGTGAACAAACCTATTCATACCAAGTACGTACACACGCTACAGGCGTCAACGCCGCGAAGGACAAAGATGTGCCCGCATTGTGCCTATTGGCCCAACACCAATGCCGCAGCAGCTGAATTCTGATTGGTCAGGCGTGTAGCGAACTCATTCGCGGAAGCGCACTCATAGAAACCTTTGCTCAGCAACCTAACTGACCTTGTCGATAACTCTGGGCGCGCCTCGCTTCCTCGAGACACTACTGACTGCGACCTACCGTACCGTAGTTTTGGCGGCCCCTTGGTCGTCGTCTCGACCTGCACTAACGAATATTCGAGCAAAAAAATCATTTACGAGGAAGCCCGTCGCCGTACAGGGCATGTAGAGCGTCTTCGTAGGCTAAAGGAAGGTGGTCCACGATGGCCGTGTCAACCATGAGAAGCCTCGCGAACTGGAAAATGAACGAACGACAGGCAGGCGAGGAGCAAGCAAAGGGGTGTGCGGAGCTTGGTCAAGGTAGGTGGTTTCTTGCTTGTGGCGTAAGGCCTGGAACGTGCCACCTGCCATGCCCTGTGAGGCATCGTTGAGTATTATTTCCCCCCCTGTTGTGCGTCCCCCCCCCCCGTATCGCAACCATGTTTGCCATCGGGGTTGGGTTTTCGTCGCTTGGCAACGACGTTGTAAAACAGGCCGCCCCCCCTAGTGTTTGTCATCGGGGTTGGGTTTTCGTCGCTTGGCAGCGATGTTGTAAAACAAGCCGATCACTTCGTGAGCTCAGCAACCAGGGTACCGCTTTTTTTTGCCTTTGTTTTTTTTTTTGCGGTAACCTTGAATGGTGGTCGAGTAGATTATGTTGTGCGGGGTCGAGAACCCTCACTCCGCGCAAAGGGGATAATCGCACGTTGTGTTAAAATGGTCAAGCACCGTCGAGGCAGTTACACAGCGCTTACAACTGTCTCTGGAAGTGAAAGCTCCAGAAAATGAATGAAGCCATACGCAGCTAGCTGCCATCCGTACGCAAGGAAGTAACCACAAGATGCCGAACACCCTTAGCAGGATGCAGCGCACCCTTCATGCGCCTCGCCGAATACCTCACGGCGCTTCGCGCTTGGTGATGTGAGAGCCTGGTCCGGTGAGAACCCGGCGTGCTCCGTCCTGGCCTTGTAGGGATGCGAGGTCAAAGGTCTAACGACTACGGCATGCACGACTACGAGTACACCCCCCCCTTGTTGTGCGTGCATAAGAAGTTGGTTGAAAAGGCGGAAAGTGATATCGGTAGGACAGATAGACTAGGGACGACATTTTTGAGCGACCTTTGGCAAAGTAGGAAGGAACGATTGGCCATCGGTGATCGGTCCTGTGGGAACAATGCTCCGTCCTCTCGAGGACGCGTGGTCAATGGTCTAACCGCTAAGGCATGCAAAACATAAGAGTACGCCCCCCCTGTTGTGGGTGCTGTCTGCCTGTTTTGGCCACCCGTCGGCTGTCGACGTTCTATACATCGTACATTTTCCGTCATAGACATCGCTCCCATTTATGCTGCTTAGTGAACGAACCAAACTCGTTGGTTACACTTGGCCAACCTCCTAAACACTTCACCATAATCCCGTTCCCTGACCCACATCTCTCCTTCCCCTACATGTGCGGTGTGTGTATCAAGCCATTCTTCTATCCAGTGTTCTCACAGAGTGGCCGTTTCATAAGATAGGTGCAATTTTGGAAGGGACACGTCTGACAGCGGCGCCCACGGAGCCTGACAATTGCTTTTGGTTTGGGAACTCCACAAACCAGCCGCCGTCTAACGCCGTCACATACACTTGTAGGCTGATGCAGCAGGTCTGGGGAGAACGAAGCACACTACGCGAGGCGACCGGTATAACTTGCGCAAGAGACGCTGCCGATGTTTGCATTGGTAAAATGCTTGACTTGACTGAGTATGTATGTATGCCCCTTGGCCTTACTTTTTGTTCAGCAAGATCTCAAGCGTCACTAGGTACAAATTCACACATACAGCAGCAGCAACGACAAATGAGTTTTCCTAACAACACAAACACAAACACAACAGGGGATTTCTCGCCGCCATGCGGTCACGACAGCAAACCCGCTCCAAAGTTCACACACACATACACACACACACAGACACACACACACATACACACAGACACACCTCTTCCGGCTGCTGCCTCTCCATCCAGTACAGCTTCGATCTCAAGCCCAAGGGGTTCGCAGAGCACACACCAGCGGAGGCAGCGGCGGCGCTCTCCGGCCCCAATTTTCTTATGTGGTAAATTGTCCCAGGAATCAACAGCCTAGTGTACCGATCTCCGCTCCCGCCGTCCGCCTCACCCCCCCCACCGCACTCGGAGGAAGTCTTGGACACTTCACGCTCGCGGCCCGTCCTCCAGGCATCCTCAGATGCCATTCTTGGCCGAACGCCGCCGCCCCTGTCGCGTTTTCGGTCAGCCCCCCTTGCCGCCCCAGTCTCCGTAAACCCCTCTGCAAGCTTGTTTCGAACGAAGTCCTCTACCGGGTGGCCGCCCGTCGCGCCCGCGCCCCGCTTGCCCCCCGCGCCGCGATGGCTGCTACGGTAGTCCCCCCGCTTGTTGTTGCCCCCCCGAGAGCGTGTTCGGTGGAGGATTGTTGCGTAGCGATAGGCCACTCGCATCCCGACGTCGCCACGGCCGTCGTCGTGGATTGACAACCGCGGACGGTGCTCGTTGACGAGGTAACCGAGACGCTGCGGTAAGCTCGCCTGCCAACCCCAACGAAACACAAACAAACGGCCGGAGAAACGCGCGGGCATAGCGAAGCGTGAAGATGTAACAAAAACTGCTGGGAAGAGCGAAGTGGGATACGAGAGTGCAGTGTTTCACATGAGGCGGGAGGCCGATCGGACCAACCTCTGCACGCGTGTACATGGCAAGACCATGCGGTACAACATCAAATATAGTACTTGTTGCGGCAGAACAGCGTACAGGTTGAACGACATAATATAATCCGCCACTTACCATTTGCTTTCCCCCCCGTCCTCTTGTTGTGTCGCTTGCGGATGCAATGAAATCATCACGATGGCCCTCACCAAACGACAACGCCTTGAACAAACAAACTTCCACCCCCCCAGAAACACTCCCAAACCGCCCCCGTCTCGCCCCACCACCACCTACACGAGCCACAACCCAACGCGCAACGTGTCAGGACGTCAAGTCGATCACCAACTCACGCCGATTCCTTCCACCTCCTTCAGGTCGCGGAACAGCTCGTACGCGCTGGCCAAAGACATCCTGCAGACCATGTCATTGCCGAAGACGAAGGATCGGATCGCCCTTTTCGTTTCTCTCGAGAGCTTATCCAGAGGGCCGAAAACCGGCGGGGGCGCGAAGGCGTAGCAAAGCACCCGGGTAGAGCCCAAACCGAGCTCGCTCTTCCTTCGAAGGAGCATCATCGTCAGCAGTATTGAGACTCCTAGACCAGGGCAGTAGGGCGGGCGAGCGTGGCGAGGGGGGCGCGCGGTTGGAAGGTGTTGGTCCAAAAAGAGAGTGCGCACTTTTACGGAAAAGGTACATATGCATGTATCGATTATGGTGACCACTTTGCCTGGTCCTGTGGTTTACCTATATACCTCCCTTGACTACGCGGACAGGTGGGGTAACTGTATAGATCATCAAACCCGTCAGGGACCATGTGCGTAAAAAAATTCGCCACGCGCGACTGCATCTCGAATGCGCCCCTCGTAGGGCCCGTCTCCATATCAGAAGTCGCCATGAAAATAGCATCTATACGGATGGGCCCGCACCCATCGTATGTTACATACAACGACCGGCCCTTGAAATCACAGACAGGACTCCTGAGTTGCTACGAGATAAGGGTAAGTCAAAAGATGGGACCGACTCATACAAAAAAAAAAAAAACGATTTCGTAGAGAACGTTTTAATGACCCTGCTCGCACCTCCACCGAGGCTGTGACCGGTGACTACCAGCCGGTATCCCCTGTGCCGGTTGAGTTGTTGAAGCACGTCACTCTTCGCATCGGCCAGAAGCATCTCCGCTCCCTGGCGCAGACCGCGGTGGCATGATCCTCCCATGAAGTCTTGACGGCGAACATGTTAACGGGATTATGGACAGCGTCAGCGTCCGAGAGACAACGGGGAGGAGGAAAGCGGGCGAGCAAAGAGAAAAGAGGACACGGTCAAGTAGGGATAGGAGGGGCGAGTGGGAAAGGGGAAAAGGGGATAGCGAGGGGACTGCATAGCGGCAATAGGGTTCTTGGAAGCCATAATATGATAGCACCTATGATAGCTGAAGAAAACAAACACCCCAAACACCGCCGTACAGTCAGTAGTCATGCCGACAATCCGGCCACGCTCTCTCAGAAGCACCAACCCCAACACCAACACTAACACCAGCCAAACGAATCGCCCGGGGAACACAAGGCGAATCATAGTCACTACACCGGCGGGCGGCAAGATTCAACACCCCTCCCCGCCCCGAAATAACTAAATAGATATCCTCGTGTACAGCTACGGCTCCAGCTGCTGCGTTGCACGCCGATATATGTAAGCCTAACGAGCGACGCTATATACTTCCAGGTTGACCTTCTGACAACAAAAGTACGAGAAAGACATTGGGATACAAATATCAACCCTTGTCTGTTTTCTGTCGCACTATCCCACCTGCGCTATCGCACACCAAGTCGGTGACCGTGTCCTGCATGGAGAATGTCCCACGGATAGACAGCACGACGCTTTCGGTGGCGTGGTCGACTGTCAGCACGTACGCCGGCATGTGGAGTTCGCGCTCCCCCAAAATGTTCATCTTCACCAGGTCCGAGTCCTGGATGCCGCAGTGCCTGAGTTTGATCGTGTTCGGTCACATTCGGCGTCCAAGCAAAACTGTCACGGCAAACCAAGTTAAGTAATTTCGTCAAACGGTGGTGGCGGCAAAGATGAGATGACAGTGCGTACAACCATACAGGACACGCTCGAGAAGGACGAAAGGATTGACAAATCGCTGTTACAGTTAACAGCAGTAGCTGAACGAGATCGCCACAACGCATCCCGGTACATCCAGTGGGCAGCAGCTTGTACACAGCTCTGCGAACCGGGGCCAATCACCATCACCATCATCGCTTGCACTGTCACAAACGACACACACACACACACCACAGCAGTCCCGCCAGCCTCAACCCTCTGTGGAAGGTCCACGCTGTTGCCAGCTAGCCGCAGGGTCTTCTTTTCACATCCGTTGAACGAAATCTACGCGTAACAGAGTCCCTGACGTCGCTGTTGCGATGGACTGCATTCTTTTGGTGGGTCTTGAGCGACCCGTCAAGAGAACACAACTGCAAAGATGATGTAACAAAAGACTGGAATGGCAGACATGCAGACATGGACATCAAAATAGATAAACACCGAACGCAGCGGGGCTCAGTGCCTTGGCTGCTCTGCTCCGTGCTTCGTGTTGTTCTCACTTGGCGATGCACCACTTGTTGAGCTCCAGGACAGAGAACTTGTGCACCGGAGGCCATCCAGAGTCCCAGCTCATCACGTTAGCGCCCTGAAGCATTCAGCCCGATTAAACCACACAAACAAGAACACATAGAGAGAGCCAAAGCGCAGCACGAGAAAGATACAAGGCGGAGAACCATCACGACAGGCTTCTTCCATACATTATATTCACGATGATACTACTATACCATGGTATGGGAAAAGGGAGGTGACAAGAGCGAGGTTCAAGCTTGACTCACGACCATCTCAGGCGGCATCAAGATATAAACATCGGCCATTTACCACCCTGCCTACCATAGCGCACGAAGAGGAAAATATCATGAGAGACATGCAGCACATGGCACCGGTGAGTGGACACCGATAGTCTTTCGGGCAGCGGAGAGCGAACGGCGGCATGCTGCTGTTCAGGAATCGATTACCGCGGGCTTCAAAGCGTCCCGCGGTCAACAGACGGTATGGGAAGGGGGCAAGGGTTACGGGAATACCGGACTACTGGATTGCCGGATTACCTTGAGCATGAGTATCCCATACGCGGCGCTCGCAAAGCGCATGTACCTCGCGGCCTCCTTACCGACAGCTTCATCACTCGGCAAAAGGTTAGCCTTCGACCTGTCAACAGGCGACGCCAGACGGGAAGCGATATACGGGAAAGAGATAAGAAAAAGGGTCATGAGTAAGCGTTCATTCTATCGTCGACACTCTGTCATTGGCAATTTCAAACGACCCAGCCTACTCTCTGCAAGCGTTGAGCGAAGTGGTAACCCTGAAAGGTTTGGACAGCAGACAACAGGTACCGGTTCACTAATGCCACAGGCAGCCTGCGAGCCTCTTGCGAACCAGCGGGGCGTGGTCCGGACGCGAAATCGACAGGCAGACAGCGGAAAGCTCCACGGATTTTCGCGAAGACAAAAGGGCCATCTTACCACTAAACCAGGAGCACACGCTTCTTCAGGACACCCGCGACACGTGTCCGAACCAGAACTCAAACCAACAGACACAAAAACAAACACACAACACGATCGGTCGACCGGCTCGCACGCGCAAGGCGCGCACGCCAGCATCCGTGGCAGGCACTCACCCAGCCTTGGGTGGGGCTTGCAGTGACGCGGCTCTCTCGTGGACCGTGTTGAGAACTAAAAGGTTGACCTAGGGTTGGCAGCAACATGAGAAGAAGCAGAGTGGAGCGAGAGATGGGCGGGATAACTGAAGAGGCCAGGAGGTGGGTTTCGTTTCACAACAGTTTCATCTCTATCAACACACTAGATTCCACGATACGTCAACAGCGAATTCATAGGGTTGGTTGCATGTGCATGACGACCAAGTTGTGTTTCTGCTGACCTACCTCCGTTACGGAATCAACCCGCAGGGAACCGGTTGAATACCATTCCACAATCTGTTCGTGTTTAAAGTTAGTGGTACAGGAAGACACGCATACTGTAAAATTTCTCACCAAGGCGTTGGGGACCCGATCTCTCTTCCAATCCCACTTTACGTCGGTACGAAGGTCTCTCTCGAACGCCGCCACTACCCCCTTGATACTCTGCAACGCTTCTCCCAGTTCCGGGCTGATGAAAGAGCCTGGACATGTTATGGTAGATGTTGCAGTATAGTGTCAGCACCAAGGGCTTTCACTGCGGGCATTCGGCAAGTGAGATCGTGACCTTGTAAATGTAGTTATGTTATACATCAGGGTTCACCGATGGACTATACGAATACAAACACATAACTATGTGCCTCCCCCTCCCTACTGCTTGAGCTTTTCGTCCTTCGAGGTCGAGGATGTAATATGCGATCGTCGGCCCACCTGTAGCCTATCTTGTACTTGTGCACGTCTACGGCTTTCGCACCCATTTTTTGGAACAATAGTGCGTGCTACACGTACACCTCCGCGAATTCCTCGATGGCAATCCCCGTGGTTTGGGGAAGATGTGCGTAGAAGAAGAGCAACCCACGGTACCCCACGTATGTACTCGCACACTTTCAAGGCCAAGCTGGGTTCAGGTAGGATTTCCCGCCCGTACTTCGCTTTGCTGTCAAGCACATGCTACGTCGGCCGCAGCAGCAGCAGCAGCGACCATACTCGACGTAAAATGTGGTGGACACCGCGCGGCTGGATGGTATGATCATGTGTCGAATCCGTTCGGTTGGGGTTCGCAAATTCGTCAGCTGAGCCCCCCGTCCCCCCTCTCCTCCCGCCAACGCTACACCCTTTCCCTTTCCTCAACTCCCCCGGTACAGTATCTTGGCTTGCTCGAGTTGTTAAATACGCGAGTGGTAGAGGGTTAGCCCACCCTCGCCACGCCCAAACACATGGGGCCTCCCCCAACCTGAACCACCCATCCCTGCGGCAGTGATGTGTGATGTGTTTACACATCGACTGCCGCAGGGATGCGTGGTGCAACTTGAGGGGAACCCCATCTACCTGGACGTGACGAGGGGGGGCTAGCCCTCCCGCGTATTTAACAACTCGAGTAAGCCCAGGGCTAACGTATGGTGAGCAGCGCACATTGATATCAACGGTTTGATGGGTGATATATTGGTGAGTGTACTCAGAGCAATATATAAAACGTGAATGAACTGCTTTGCTTAGTTCGTGCACCTCTTTTTCAGGCAAGAGGCAAGCGCGCCCAGGAAGACTTGGGCGTTTGTTTTATTCTGTTGTGAAGATTCTATTGTGCAGACAGGAGAAAGACGAAGGGGGGTTCCTTTCGTCGCCCCGACAGAGCACCCCTGCGTGACAGCGTTATCTCTTGCAACACTTGAGTAATTTTTTTTAGTCAAACGTTGGTTGGGTTTTGTGAAGTGCCCGAAAGCTCTGGTGTATATCTGTATATCTCGCCCCCATTTCGAGGAAGAAGAGAGTGGACTATCGTAGGTTGCATAAGACACCACACCCCCTGGACCCATTTCCCAAGCTCGACTACTCCACGACCAAGAGGATGCCGAAGGCAAACGATAGATGTTCGGAAAGCTCTCCACGGCACGGTTCCAACTCCGCCATTTTCGGCACGGTCAGTGCTTACCCAGCCGAGTGATCAAGCCTTGAAAATCGGCCCGGGTGTGTGTGATATCTCATGCAACCTACGGTATGTTGCACCTTATTCGTACGTAGCTAGGCAGCGCTTCTTCTCACACACGGCACACATGTAGCATTCACATCCAACGCAAAGGTACGCTGCCTGTGGAAGTACCTTACCGCCGTACAGCAGTAGCGCGTGCGTAAGATACCACACCCCCTGGCCCGACTCTTAAAACCCGCTTCACAAACGAAGAGATGCAAATACAACGATACGTATTCGGAAAGGTCTCCACGAGAGGGTTCCTACGTTCCTACGCTGCCATTTCCGGCACCGTCACTGCTCTTGCTGCCGAGCAATCGGGCTTGAAAATTGAAAATTGGTCTAGGCGGGGTGGTATCTTACGCAACCTGTAGCGGTGCTACTTGCCAGGCACTCTGCTGCTGTTTCTTGCTCAAATATCATGTAGCAGCGAAAGCAAAGAGATGCCCGCTGAAAGGTCTTTCTCACGTGCGATTTGGTTGAGTAGGCGAGTGTTCTCCGCCCATTCCCATCCCGCGTAAGCGACAGGGACACCGACCAAGGTGGACATTAGCCCGACTGCAACAACAGTCCTCGTCCTCGAGGCATGCATGCTTGTGCCTGCCGGCTGATGCTGGTAGTTGCCCGACCTCTTACGTTTGAAGGGAATGCTTCATTGCGGCCCCCCGCTCAACCTCTTCTCCGTGTTCCCTGTCAATACACTAGCACCTAGCCTTTTCGGCCGTAGAGACTGCCTGTGGGCACGGCGGTGCCAGGGTCGGTGTGGTCTGGCTGTGGGTCTTTTTGAGGGGGCTCGCGAAGCGCAGGGCTTTGATGCACCACCATCCCCCCCACGTGTCTCCCGTTGTGGGCGTCTTTGTTTTTCTCGATGCTTTCGAAATTTATTTGTCAATATTTTGCGTACCCCCTTTGCTCGCCAAGGGGGAGGGGAAAAGAGCGGAGACAAGGCAGGGCAACACCACACACGCCCCCGGTGTACTCCTTACGATCAGTATAAACATCAGCCACCCAACAGACAGAAATATATAAACTCTGTCTGCCCCCCACTACCGCTGATAAAAAACCACACCTGGTACCACCGGCTTGTTCATACTGAAACCACGAGAGAACCCCACAAGGCCCCATCACTATTATTATCGCCATTCGGCGAAAAACCCGGGCCACCAAAGAACAACCCATTTTCTCGTCTCTCGCTACTCTCTGTTCCCCTGACCTTCCCATCGCATTGCAGAAAACACACACATACATGTCACCAGGACCCCACACACACATAATTAATCATCATATAATGTATATGCATGCATGCGTGTCCACCAATCAATCAGACGCGTCACGCACGCAACGGGGAAGCGCGCAGCACCAACGTAGCCACACACAGCAGCCAAAGAGTGCACTCCCCCAACCATGCAACGGTCCGATACCCACAACAACATGCGTCCTGCATATATATATACAACCTGAAATAAATGCGATATACACAAATCCCACTCAAAAATAAATGGGACGAGCACCCTCGGAACCGCGCCCAGCATACTATACATACATAGTATAGGCACACGCAACCCCGACTGCGGCTACACAGTGAGTCCCCCCGACAGGCAATCACGTGGCACACAACGCCGCTGCTTCTATTTCCATGTCCACTGACACCCCCAAAAGCAAGGGTGGGTGGTGGGTGGGAAAAAGAAACGTCACGGCAGAAACAACCCTTGGCCACCACACACACGCACACACACAAAACACACACACATGCTCTCGCTCGCCCCCGGTAAACACGGCGAAGCGAGTAGACTGAAACCAGAAACCAGCACGCTCGTCCGCTTCCTGCTTTCTGATTGGCCAACGGTTTATTTCTGCCGCTTCTCACAAAACGCAGATAGATTTCCCTTACTTCGTCAGTCAATCTTTCGCTCTTTTAGCATCGACCACGCTATAATATGCATACAGCAGTATGTACGTGTGTGTAAATAATATGGAATGGTACCCCCCCCCCCCCCCCCCCCCCCCCC